CATTTTAAAATTTAATTTTCTTAGTGATTTATCAACAAACGTTTACTAAACTTAAATAAGATGAAAGGCTCTGTGAGTCTATATAGGTATAATATCAGTCCCATTATATAGAAGAACTAGCATTGCCCGCGGCTCCGTCTGCGTTCAAATGACCAAAAAGCAAATTCTTAGGTTTTAAATATTTGTATACTCTTACAATGCAGTTTTTGTATTTTTTCTCAGAAATAAGATATTTTCCCGCGGTAAAAAGTATCGTATAGGATAATTAGATTCGGCTTAGTTACAATCTATACATATAATAAAATTGTAACTAAGTCGAATCTGTACATTAAATATTTTTTGGAAAATCTTATTGAAATAGGCTTTATTATCGATACAGAGGCCGAACTTATAGTTTTGAGAATTTTGTCGGTTTGTCTGTTACCGCATCACAGGAAAACCACTGGGTAGATTTTTATGAAATTTGGTATAATGATAGCTGGCTATCCGGGTTTTATATTTATAGGATTATAATTATAGGATACTTTTTATCGCGAGAAAATATCTTATTTCTGAAAAAAAATACAAAAACTACAATGTAAGAGTACCTATACTAATAATATGTAAAACCTAAGAATTTGGTTTTTGGTCATCTAAACGCGGGCGGAACCGCGGGCAGTGCTAGTTTTATTATATGTATAAAAGTAAGAGACTCTTAAAATTGATTTGACAAATTAAGCTAATTTGAGTTGTAGACATTTAAAAGTACTTCTTTACCATTATAGTAAGTATATAGATAACAAATATATATTTTTTCATTTTCACTCACTTTGTTCATTTTAATTAGCAAGAGCGCCAACTACATCTATAAAAAAAAATAGAATGGTCTGGGTTTTTTTTCAATAGAAAATGAAAAATATAGGTCAAAATTAAACTGCAAAGTAATTTTTATCTAGATCTCGTGTCTTCGTGACATTGGAAATCCCTAAAGCAGTAGTTGCTTGTAATCCTCACGTCGCATTCATAGTCCAGACGAAATCCATAATCCAATTACGGCCCAGCCTCCGAACTGCACTCGACTAGGACTTACCCCTGTCACACTGGATGTGACATTGCAGATAACACGGGATATTTTAAAGCTAGAGCTGTTTTATTTTGAACGATTTAATATTTTATGTATTTCAATTTATAGTGAACTAGCATTGCCCGTGCCCGCGTTCAGATGACCAAAAAGAAATTCTTAGGTTTTACTCGACATATTAGTATACTCTTACATTGCAGATTTTGTATTTTTTCTCAGAAATGAGGCATTTTCTCGCGGTAAAAAGTATACTATATGTTGACCCGGATAACCAGCTATCACCATACCAAATTTCATAAAAATCCCTCCAGTGGTTTTTCTGTGATGCGGTAACAAACAGACAGACAGACAGATAGACAAAAATTCTAAAAACTATAGATTCAGCCTCTGTATCGATAATAAAGTCTATATCAATAAGATTTTCCAAAAAATATTTAATGTACAGATTCGGCTTAGTAACAATTTAATTATACGTATAGATATATGTATGAATGTAATCCATTTATAGTGAAAATAAATAAAACTTCTTCAAGAGAAATCTGAAGTATTTCTCCGTTTACTACTTTCCGTCTCCGCCTAATAATATATTATTATTATAGTAATATTAACATCAGACTCTTTTAAATGTACTTAACATGATATACAGAGCTATGCGAAAAGTTTACACAAGTGAGAATAGAACTTGCGACTATAGACTATATATATATATATATTGCGTAGGAAGCAATATTAGTTTCGTATTCAACTTCATAAATAGCTATGTAAAATCCCTTTTTTGTATTATTAATGGATGTGAACCTCCTTAATTTGAATATAAAATATAATTTAATACTGCTACGCTTATTTTTATAACAACATTTTTATACTAAATAAAGTAAAAAATATGAGTTTTATAATAATTCCTTCCAGCAGTGAATAAAGTGGGATTTGGTGAAGTGCGGCTGGAGCGCCAACAGTCGAGTGGCGTCGAGCACCTGGACGTGACTATCGACTGCCGTAATCTGCGCTTGCCATTAAAGGAGATATTACTTACTATCTCGATATAGTCATGTTACTCAGTTTTAAAACTTTCTTAGTTCCACTTTGAAGTTTTATTTAAAATATTTATATAGTTATATTTTAAAAATATATTTTTCTTCTATACATATAATAAAATTCTAACTAAGCCGAATCTGTACATTAAATATTTTTTGGAAAATCTTATTGAAATAAACATTATTATCGATACAGAGGCCGAATCAATAGTTTTTAGAATTTTTGTCTGTCTGTCTGTTACTGCATCACGGAAAAACCGCTGACGGGATTTTGAGGAAATTTGGTATGGTGATAGCTGGTTATCCGGGTCAACATATAAGGTACTTTTTACCGCGGGAAAATATCTCATTTCTGAGGAAAAATACAAAAACTGCAATGTAAGGCTATACTAATATGTAGAACCTAAGAACTTAGTTTTTGGTCATCTGAACGCGGGCGGAGCCGCGGGCAATGCTAGTCTACTATAGATTTTGATTTCAATCAGTGTTATAATACTTTGAGTTAACATTTTATCGTCTATCGGCAACAAGGAGTGTCAAGTACTAAATAAACTAATTCCAATAACTTCATTTCTATTTTACTACAAAGGCATGGCTTTACTTGCTGTGTCGTGGGTTCGAGTCCCGCTGGGGGCATTCATTTGTGTGATGAGCACGAATGTTTGTACTCCAGTCATGGGTGTTTATATTTATAATGTGTATGTATTTAAAGTTATATATATGTAGTGTATCAACCATCTGGTATCCATAACACAAGCTTTGTGCTTACCATGGAACTAGATGGTGCTGTGTGTAATGTCCCAACATATTTATTTATATTTATGAAGGTGCTTTGAACTTTAAATGACATTATTGGGTCCATGTAATAAGATTTTTATTATTTCCAACAAATATCCCCTCACGATAGGGTTGTTGATGAATAAATTGTTTTCCTCTCAGTTGAAATACTCACACATCAATTCACTTCACTTGCATTTTCCATTAATTGATTGACAAGTGTTTACAAGAATGCTGTTTAATTGGACTCTCTGTCAGCAGTGACATGGCGATAGGTCTGTAAAAAAGTGTCTGCGACCGCGAGGGTTTTTGAATTTTAAACGGTATTCAAGTGGTCTGTCTGCTTTGAACCGTATCTACGACTGGTATTTTATTTGTCAATATTAAATCTTTTTTTTTATGTATGAGTTATTTTGTTTACACCTTCATAAATTGTAAAATAGTTTCACAAAATATTTGGTGTTTATAAGAGTTTTCATATAAGTAGGTATCTCCTTTAATTAAATGAAGATTTTAGATACACTTATGCATTATACTCTGATATATAAAGTATTGATTAGGTTCATAAATATTAATAATTGATTACATTTAACTCAAAAGTTTGAAAAGTTTTTAACGAAAACTACTTTAAAATCGCCACAAAAGTGGCTTTTACACACCTTACTATATTTTTTTCACAAAAAACTTATATGCACCCGATCTGACAACTTCTTTCTTTTTTGAAGTCGCCAAAAGAGTATAATATACCGTAATGTTAAAATATTAAGTGTTACAACTAACAACCACATGAAAAAATTCTAGAATTAAATAGTGCGTCAAAAATACACAGTAACAATAAAAGAAAGTAACTTGTGGGTTCTCTCCCTAAGTAAACGAGACTTTGATGAGAAAGCATTTAAGGGTTTGCCAAAAAAAAGATATAACAGCGCTCTGTGAAATAAAGAAAACATTGCAATAAAAGAATTTTTATTTCTTAATCATCTTTATAATTTTATGTAAATTTGTATGTTAAATGTAAAAAATTGTATGTATTAAAGTAATCCGAGGATACTTGTATTGGGAATGGCCCGCTTCTTCCCATATGCATACTCTATGATTAAGAGAATACATCTCAGCTTACTTTCTTTTTAAAACATTAAAACTAACGTTGTACACACCCACATTATTTTACCTTTTGATTTCTTTTGACACGTAAAAATGTAAATGCGATATTCCTCATGGGAATCATGGGGGAAAGTTTTGAAAAAGTTAGCGATGCCGTTTTGCATTTCAAATTCTCTGACATTGAAAGGCTTTTAAGACCATTAAACAATAGTAACGATCGGCAAAGGGTCGACGGACGACACCGGGGCAACATTGTCCCCGTGCGAGACGTGCCCGTGTCCGGAACACAATCATTAGTGTGCTCACTCAACTCGAAACCGATTTCATCCCCCACAAGTGCGCTTCTTTGAAACTGGCGTAATATTGTCGAAAGAGGGAAAACTCCTTTAGAGAAAAAAAATATTGCTCGAGTCGCGGTGAAGAAAATGAGAACGGTATGTCGGAAAGCAATCGAGCGTGCACCTTACCAGCCAATATGCTACGTTTACGTTATCGCTGATTCTGAGAAAGGAAATACTTTGACTCCAAACGAAAACGCGATGCGAACGGATTAGACTTCCACCGCCCGCGGTTGTAAACTCCAGCGCCTGAAACAACTTCGTTACAACTCGTCTGTTTTGTTTCTGGCCGGTAATATTAGTTTTAGTCAAAAAGCTATTTTTCAACCCGCCGTCGAAAGGCTGGTAAAGTTTTCTAATTTAACAAATTCACTCCCAATGTTTCATGAAGGCTTCAGGCTTGATGAGAGACTGCCCAAAGTTTTTATGATATTGATATCGAATGTTTATTTGCTCAAATTAATGTTCCTGAAACTTGTTATAACAAGTTATTATAAGTTTTTGTTTCGACGACGTTAAAAGAAGAATAAAATTCTAGCAAAGTCAATTGTTTTCAATAATAAATAATGTATCTATGTAGACCATATTATAAGGTAATATATAAGGTTTGAATTTGAATAAAAATTAGAACAAGTTACTTTTTTAAACAATATCGACATTATAGTGATTAAAATATCTTTTGAACAGGTGCTACTATTTCCTGAAGAAGGCTGGGCCCGGAGTGCCTCATCTTCCTACTGGACGCTGCAGCCCTGCTGGTGGCGACGATCACGGTGCAAAGTCGTAGAAGTAGCGGGGACTAGAAGGTAATTTCTATTTTTTTGTAATTTACACTTACTTAAAGTGGAAAAACACTTAAGTAAAAAAAATCAATTATGAAGAATTTAGTTTAATTTTTCACTAAAATAGTGCAGACTTACTACATAGTGTAGAATTTTATAATGTAGTTTTTATTTTGTCTATATTATATGTAAAAAAAAAATATTTTTGTTGAAATGAAATTCATTTTTAAGCAATTGCCATTATCCATTTGATTAATGAATAGGAAGTGCTAAATATTACGAAAATATTCAGTAATCATCCATGCTCATTTAAGAAGCGAAAACAGAAAATCCAAGGAAACCTAATTTAACATAGGATGCTATAAACACCTTGAAGCTAATTTAAAAAGAAATAATGTTTCCGTAGTTGAGTACGGAAGCAGTTTATCATCTTGAGCGTTGGACGTGCTTTTCGCAATTAACCGTACGCTCAGGTAAGCGCCGTGCCTTGGTTTGACAAATGACTAAAGGACGGCTTCACTATCTCAGTTGTAGAAGGCCTCAGCTTCATTAGACCTATTCATACTGTTGTATTCCATACATTAAGCAATATCTATAATCATTTTTTTTGTGAGTTTGACTTCTAAGAAGATCTAGTAGCGATCTTCTATAAACATTTTTAATTTCAATTCTTCATGTAGACACTTTCGACTGAAATTTTTCAAAATTAATAATTCATTTACATTTCATTTAAAAAGAAAATTAAATGTAAATGATTTATTTATATTTATTAATTCAATATTATGAGGATTATGTAGGTAAAATATGATAGCATGTTGTAAAAGAAACTTGCTAATTACGGATTTGTCAACAACAGTTTTGATGGAATAATAAAAATTACATATATAGTCGACTATATATGTAATTTTTATATAGTAAACTACTTACCTATTACACCAACCTATAGTTAGGTTTTAATGTTTTAGTAGTTTTAATAACCAAGGAAGTATAGTAAGTAGCTAGTCGTATCGTTAAATATCTGTTTTGAATTTCGTTTTTTTTAAATGTTCTCTTTAGAACGTAAGAATAAGACCCTACATGTCAAATAATCATCTTAATCGTATAAGTACAAAGTAATTACACTTCGTAAATTCCAACTTTTCTAAGTAATTTAAATAATTATATAGCTCTGTCACATATATTAGCATCATTTAAATTATATAATATACTCTGTAATATTCGTTGACATAATCTGTACGTACTCGTATAGTGAAAAATAGCGGGAACGTGCCGTAAATAAAGATGGCGGACGCGCCAAAGGGCTTAGCGGGAATGAGATACTATTTATTAGGCACACCTTCGCCGGTTCACAGAATACTTTAGCTCTGCTTTATTAGCTCGTGTACTTGTACAACATTTCGCGATATGAATATTTTACTATTATACCCTCGTGAACGGATTTGGCAACAAAAACACCACGCATTTGGATATTTTATTGTGAATAATAGGATTTTTGATACACCTTGTTCCATTTACATTTAACCTCATAATAATATTTCCATTTACATTTGGAAGCAACTTCTATTAATATTTAATATTAGTAACATCGGATTTTTTATTTTAAGTACCTATGTCTGGTTATTATTTTTAACAACTTGAAAATTTTATGTTTTAAAACAAGTTACACTTACTGTTCTTACAGTAAGTGTAACTTGTTGGATATTTAAAACTTGTCTAAAACCGTTAAAAACTTCCTTTGCAAAAGTTTAATTTTTATTATTTTATTTCGTAGGTAAAATTCAATTACCCTAGGTATTCAAGTTGTAACAGAGCTGATTTTCGAAAGATTTCGACTGTTATACAGAGAATTAAATGGCAACGGGACTGTTAACGTTAACGATTATTGCCTCCCGACTATTTTGCCTAAACGACACGTATTTCATGATAAAACCACCCTTAAGATCTCTTTATAGTTTCCACTATTTATAGGCTTGCGATTTGTTCGTTGAATTGCTGACGATGTATGTATGTAGCACATTTTTCCACATTTCAGTAAAATATTCATGATTTTAAATCTTTCATACTTAGTTGTAACAAAAATTTAAGCTTTATTCATATAAATTTTAACTCATTAATCACTAGTAGTTCGCCAAGTGGTCGAACTTCGACCATGATTATTATTGATTTTTTTAATTTATAAAACTAAAACTCGTCAATAGCTATTAAACTAAACATAATTCTCCATTTTATAGAACAGGCAGACAGAAGTGAAAACTTAAAACTATAAACAGACAGTTGTTAGTTTTGAATATTCAAATTAATTGTTTGATCTTAAATTAATACTTGCAAATTAAAACGTTTTACATTTATCTGGTTTTGACATCTATCGGTACTCTGAGTGTTAGCGTTAGCACGTGACCATGTCGATGACGACTTACATGAATTTACTCCCCATCCAAACCTGCCTATAAAAGTATTCACTTCAAAAATTAAGTAAAACTTAAAAATACAAAAGAATATAGTACTATTTTTGCTATTCTTCTTTCATTCTCAAAAACTTTATATTAATTTAACTTATTACAAACATAAAATTTCCTCTGTTAAAGTTAAGTTGCAGGCAAAAATGTAGAGTTAGAAAAAAGGTAAGTAGTACTAGGTACATTCATAAGATAACTATTCTGGTATCTTGTATAAACTAACGAGTTTCCCGCCTGCTTTTCTCAGTTACCCTTTATTTCAAGACGTTAGTAGATTACTTATTGATTGACTATATTAAATGTTTTTAATAATTATTAATTATTTATAAGTGCTTAGATTTCATTGAATTTGATTTACGTCAAAAGTTATTTACATTATACAAACTTAATATAGCCAAGAGCGCTCTAGAAATCTGAATTTCACCCAGCTATATATTGTTTCTACGTCCAAAAATCGTATTGAATATACGGCTTATAGTTCTACACAGTACAATACCCGTAGTTTCTGGGAACATTTCTATTTGAGCTCGTTCCGCCTTTGTTTCGTGTTATCTGTTGCAACTTGTTACCTACCAGCGCCGCTAGACTTGCACGTAACACGGCACCTAATTTTACCGTCTTCCATTTCTCGGTGAATTTCTGCAAATGTTATGTCGGCAATAATGGGTGAAAAGCAGCGGAAAAGTGCGCGTAAAGGTTTTTAATTCTTTCATGGGAAGTTGTAGGGTTTACCCGTTGTTGTGGGCTATTAAGCGACCGGGAGCCATTACATCGGCTGTTAGGCCTGCGACGTACGTGTTGGATCTGCGCCCTAGTAACTAAGCTACGTGATTCGCATCGAGAATGCGATACGCTATTTGTGCCCATGAAACCGTAAAACTCACATTCTTAAAAATTTCAAATACCTCACCCGTGAACTTGGATTTTAGTAATGATGGTATTAAGTGATTTTTTTATGGGTATTTATTGTATTGTAATTCACTTTTTTTATATTGTTACATATCACGACCTACCTACTACCATGAAACTTATAGATGTAAGAAGGAACGTAGATGACCAGGACTGAACTTGTAAAGTCTAACTCTAGTGTACACAACGATAATCTAATAAAGAACGATAATCTAATAAGAAAATTGCCAGAAGAGACTCATTTGAGATTGTAACAGAATAAAATGGTTAGGTGTTTATGTAAATTTCGTCGTTCTATTACGTTTTTGCTATATAACATATTTTATGTTTGCTTTATTGACTTGTATATTTTTGCGACAGGCACAGCACTCACGCGCGAATGGTAGTAAGCGGTGTCAACGCCGTATACATAGTTGGAACATTTAAACATTTGGGGAGCGATGCCGATTTTAAGGTAAAATTTAAATATCTATTACAATTAATAAACTAAATGTAACTTCTAACGAGAGTAATTTCTTTGTATATTCTTGTTATATAAGTACTAGTTTCTGCCTGTTGATTTTCATTTTAAGGGTACAAATATTATAATTTTAAATTATTTTAAGTTTGAATTTATTTTATTTAGCCTTATTTCTCGTGTTAGAAATATAATATAACATCTATTGATATTATTTTAACATCAATTGGATAAATGTTAGTATTAAAATTCCAACAGAATTTATTAACTTTATCAGTTAATCTTTGTTTCTAATACCTACAGTAAATTTAATGGAAGTTTATTTTATAAAAGACGTTATGTAAGAGTCGAGGTAACACTCTATCTGCAGATGAAGTCATTGATTTGTGGTTAAAAGCAAAAAAATGAAAGAAATTAATAATTATTATTGATTGAAAAAATTGAATTATTGACAAGTCTTCATTTATATGTATGTCTTAAAAGGGTGAACAATCAAGTACTGTTTATGATCAAATTACTATAAAGGTACCTAACAATTAGAAACCTAAGGTAATCTAACCTTATGTACATCTTTATTTAAATATATAATAAGCGTATATAAAGTATTACTTTTCATCCAATACATTTCTAATAAGACATTTATAGACAAACTGCTTTAATATTAACGACTTAGTAATTAGGTTAATTAGTCTAGCTGCTTAGTACCGTAAAAACTAATAGTCTGAAATCACGAAAGAAAAAGGTGCCATTTTCTAGGTCTCCGCCTATAGAATTATACACCTAGGTATCTATTTATACAGAAAAATTATGTTAATTATGTTATTTTTTCATATTATAGACTGGGTTTTGGAATTCATCATATAATCAGCCACCATTGTTCAATAAAACCTTGCAGCAACCTTACTTTAATCTTACTATTTTATAGTACGAGTATAAACCAATAAATTCTTATTAATTTACTTATATATAACTAACACTAGAAGGCAGGAGATTTAACATTAAATATATATTTTGGGAGAGATCTACAATAAATAATAATAATAATAAGAAAAATTCTTTATTTCTTACCACAAACAAATTAGTACATACATCAATATTGGAGATCTTAGTTTAGCATAAGCTGTTATATTTAGTTGTGGATCGCTGGTGCTGGTAAAAACCACTGTTACAGGACAATGATATCTTTTAAAATGCCATTTAGATTTTCGAATCTGTTTCTCGGCATATTGGTATCGTAAAGGTGTATATTATTCCACCGAAGAATTTGATAAGTTTGTGTTATCGACTGTTTCCAATTTTTTCCAAAATCAATGCTTCTCTTGTTTCTATTTTATTCATACCAAATTAAAATAAGTTTAAATTGTATTGATTACTAGCATTGTCCGCGGCTCCGCCCGCGTTCAGATGACCAAAAACCTAATTCTTAGGTTTTACATATAGTACACTCTTACATTATAGTTTTTGTATTTTTTCTCAGAAATAAAATATTTTTCCGCGGTAAAAAGTATTCTATATATTGACCCGGATAGACCGGATAATCAGCTATGACCATACCAAATTTCATCAAAATCCGTCCAGTAGTTTTTCTGAGATGCGGTAACAGACAGACAGACAAAAATTCTAAAAACTGTAGATTCGGCCTCTGTATCGATAATAATATCTATTTCAATAAGTTTTTCCGAAAAATATTTAATGTACAGATTCGACTCAGTTAGAATTTTATTATATGTATAGATTTCTTCTTCGAGATTAATTTTGCGTTTAATAAATTTAATCATCATGTGACATATTACAGACATGTTTTTTGTTTCGACGCCATCTTGCCAATTGAGCAAGAGTTTACAGGGAGCAATAATTTTATTTGAAAAAATATTTCTTTAAAGTGTACATTTTAAAACGAGACATTATACCCGTTTCCCAAGAATTATTTACTTAAAATTTGATGAAATTTCCAAAACCCTTGGTCACCAATATGTGATGTCTATTTTTTGACGTATACACTCAATACAAATTTTAATATAATTAACAAAGAGTTTTCTCTATATACAAATAATCTTAATTGCTGGTGTAACTTTAAAATATGTTCTTTGAATAGCACAAACGTCCCTCATAGAACTAAATACCCCTATGGTAATTTTAGAATCACTAACCGCAAAGGCCTCTTGGAGTAATTTAATATGTTCACATTAATTACATCAACGTAAATGTACGCATAATAGAGATTTAATCAACTTAATCAACGCTTGCTGTAGAAAAATAGACATACGGTGTAGTGTGTGATTTATTTGTTTTTTGGGTCACGGGTTTCTTTCTTGAATCGAATCAATTACGTATTATATAGCAAGTAGATAAATTATTATTGTTAGTGATCAACCTATTATTTATTTTTATTACTTGAAAATAAAGGATTAGAGTTTAATTTAACGAAATATAGTAAAATTTTATCTTACATTAAATCCGTGAAAAGAACCTTGAAAATATATGGTGATGACCAAACCACACATTTGTGTATGCAGACACAAGTACCTACATATACTATTATTTTTTTATATCTTATTTCGACGTGTCGACAATTCGACACGACCGGTGAACAACTTAGCATGCATCTTCAAAGCACGGTCGTATAAACACTGCAACCTTCCCAACTCTTGGCTGCTACTGAGTTTTTGTAAGAGAAAAACTATTTTTATCCGACCCGGGACTCGAACTCAGGACTCTCGACCTGCAGCACCGTTATATAAGTTATATGTATAAGAAGCAGCTTATGTATATATTATGTCTAATCGATCGACCAATTAATTAGATATTTATTTCTAGTTATATCTAACAACGAACGTGACTCAAGCGGACTTCAATATGGGGTACACGATGACGGGAACCCTCGAGCGCGGGAGTCGATCCTCCAACACCTTCCAAGTGACTCACTTCGCTGTTTTAAGACGCTGTGACCATGAAGCACACCATTTAAAATCAGCGTAAATATGTTAAATGAGATAGATTTAATGTCTTTTTTGTTGGTTTTTAACTACTTTCTGGTGGGGAAAAAAATAAAAGAAAAGTTTCCATTAAGTAATGTATTTGGAAGACGATTAAGATTTTTGTGTATTTTGCGGTTTTTTCTACAATAGTGGCTTTGATTATTAAAATAGATGAAGTAAATATTTGTTTTTAACATAAAATCGTTTGTTTTTGGTTAAAATTATTGACGTGTATTAAAATATTGCTGTGTAGAATTAGATTCTGAATGATCTCAGGTAGATTTTATAGTTTAGTTGTAAGAATATTGCCAAGCGATATTGTGATGTTTAGGATGTGCTAGAAATACTTGTCACTTTCTCTGGTCATTCCCTGAGGAAATCTAGTTATAAGCGAAGTTACCGGTAGTAGAATAAATTTACATGCTTATTATTTAATTTATATACAGTAGATGAGTTGCTTTATAGATGGGTAGTTTGATACTTATTTTTATAAGATTAATTAATTATTATTAAAAATATTTCACTTCCATTCGTCTTGTAACATGTTGTGGTATGGTAAGTTAAATAAATGTATGTAATTGATTTTGAGTAATTAAAGATAATGTAAAGAAATCAGGAGTCGAACGTACCTGTACTTTAGATTGGAAATGGCTTGTGTATATAGATATTTGTCGTTTTGCTCGATAATATTTGGAGGATGTTTTAAAAATGGCTGTGAATGATATGGTAGAGCCCTCACGATTCAACGGACGCTGCAAAGTGTAATCAGCATGAAGCCGATGTACCAATCATCGGAATCGCTAGACTAAATGATCCAATATAGAAAATTCCATTTCATTTTAAAATCTATTTTTTTTTCATTTTTGTATACTGTAATGTACCATGTATATACCTACTTTAATTAGATCTCACCTTTGGCATTGATTTCTGTTATTTCAAAATACAGAATAATGAATAATATCAGAATTTTAAACGGATCCGTTAATTAATAATGAACCTAAAATAACATATTTCTCATACCTAGAGGTTTGAGGAGTTATCGTTACGTAATTAAATTGATTTAAGGTCAGTTTCCATTTAACTTAAATTCAAATTAAACATTCAGACTATCAGTCATTAAGATTAGTTCATATTATTTGAGGAAGCTGAGGCAGCTATACTATTTAACTGCCCCGACTTCACTCGCTATGTCAGAGGGAAATTATTTTCAAGAATAAAAGCCCCCATTTGTATGTCTACAGGTTGAATTCTTTATTCTTAAAAACGTCGAACTATGTAAGTGTTTCTATATATTTCAATCGATTCGATTGCCACTTTTTCGTAAGAATAGTTGTCAGAAAACTCTAGTTAATTAAGCTATCAAAACAGAATTAATAGGTATACAAAGTATGCTTTTACAAAAGACGAAAATATTATATGCAACTTAAGTAAAAATTTGAGAATATTGAAAACAATTTATTTAAATTAGATCAAAAAAGACGTAGTATATCTGCTTCATTTTTAAATAACAATTAATCATCTAATCTTAAAAAAACTTGGTCGTCTAAGTGTTTAACTAAATCAGTCTAAATGTTTTTAAAGTGAAAAGTAGAAAGTAGTTGAACTAGATGATAAGGTGTCCGCTATATTATAATATCTGTAGAAGAACTAATATAAGAGCTAAACGTCCAGTATCGCACTCCCTCCAGTGTTTTATACACATCATTTTGTACAAAGCTAGGAGTTCTCTCCACTTAGCTTTAAGTGTTTGAAATTTCTATAAAAAGTCAATATCTTGCACAATTTATTCATGAGAATTTAAAATTATTCAATTATTTGCATTAAAAATCCTGTGCATCAAATAATTTAATATTAATATTACCAAGATAGCCAATTTTTTTGTTCGTAATATGTAATGTGGAAATATAAACAGCGACAAATCGCCAAAAAATATGAGAAAATATACAATCCTATAGAATCATTTACTTATGTAAATTAAATCTGCATATTATTTGTTATTATTATTATATTACAAGGAGTTATATGACTGTATGTATAAGCTCTCTTTTTATAGGTACAAAATTAAAATAATAATGTGATTTAAAAATTATATATATATGTTCGTATTCTTTTACGTGAAAAATTCATTGGGTTATGTTTATAAAATGAACCATAACATCGTCTTTTTATTCTGCAGTTAAAAAACCATACAATACTTAAATTGCTATTGATTTTGGATTAAAATAATATAGTATTGGGCAAAAATCTCTTATGCTATAAAAAATATGATAAAATAACAAAATAAGGTTGCCATACTCTTGCCAGTTGCCTACTATTTCCCATAAATAATATTTAAAATATTTATAAAGTGTGGAATTCATTCAAAATTATGTAAAGTAAACAATATTACACATACCTACCTTCGGTACTCGGCTTGCTTATGATGTCATTCTACAATTATTGAAGCAGTTTTTTTGTATTGTATACAAATATAGAAATGAGAAAATAGAAATATAACTTGTCATACCCATATATTTTTTTAAATTTCTAATCCTCAATGATCTTCTTAGACAAATTATGAATGACATCTTGTCTGACCCCACTTGTTGTTTAAACAGCATATACTCATGACATCGCAGTTTACTATTCCACTATTAGATAATATTAATTTACCCAAATCAATCTTAAAAAAAACAATTATAAAAGTAAAATAAGATATTTAATATAAGAACATTTAATTCTAATATTTTGGTAACTTCGTATTAGGAATGAATAATTTACTTTCAGGACTTACTTCAGTATAAATACCGAAATAAGATTACACGTTTCAGTCGAGCTAAATTATAATTTGAACTTGGACTTAAATAAAACGTCGAAAAACTAATCACAAAGTATTGTAATAAAGAATAAAAATTGAAGTAACATTTAAATGATGATTTAAGATTTTTTTATTATTCATATATAATCTTTTAAGAAATCGGTTGTGATATGATAAATCATCGATTTATTTGTGTAATTTTTCATGATCATGTCCAACTAAAACTAATATAAGTTTTATGTTAAATAATCAAACACCAAAACTACGAGTTTATGAGATTAAATGTATATTTTTTATATAAAGACAGTGAAAATAATTTTAGTGGATGGAATTTTGTTAGTATTATATTTATATTTAACAGTATGTTTTTTGTTATGTCTAAGTTTTAGTATATTATTTTTTATTATAATCTGGTCTAGTAAAGGAAGTCTAGCAAGCAAACACTTAAGGAATGAAAATGCGATGCTAAAAAGTCAAGCTGACACTTTGCTGAAATAAATTTTATACAGGTATAAAGTATAAAAATAAAATCTTTCACCGTCTGTTTCCGGTTCTATATCATACGCTCTTGCTGAAAATATGATGAAGCATAAAGCGAACTCATCTCCAGATAATTTGTTAAATTATTAAAATTTCCTAGACAAACCTGTTAAGGCTTTATGTAGACCAAAAATATATATTTAACTTATTTATAATATTTTTTTTGTTATATTTGTTTTTCTTTGTTGAATTATTATTTTTATTATTGTTTAATATAGGCTATAAGAATTAGATAGGAGTGAAAAGTGAAGCCACCATGATCTGTCAGTAGACTTTAAAATGTATGATTTTAAATTTTTACCCATAAAAGAATATTTTTGCAATGCATTCTTATTTCCTTTGTTTAAAAGTAGGGAATATTTTTAGAAAGAAAGAAGAAAAAGAAGCTAGTTATGCCATTGCCACTGTCTTCTGTGCACTTCTTTTATCTTATTCTTATAATCTAAGTTGTTTAACTTAAACCAAAGTTTGCTCCCAAATAATAGTTTTATAAATAGAATGTACTTATTCAAAGCTAAAACATATACGGCATATATTTTTGTAAAACCGCTCAATTCAGTTGTATATGTAAGAATTATTGTTAAGCAAGTGCCAAAACTTAGGGAGCTTTTACGGTAGGTCTCTTACTTATATATACCTAATGTATTATGTAAATAGATTTGCTTCTTTTATGTCGTTATTTGCGTACTGACTTTATTAAACTATATTAATGTAATTGTGTGTTTCTTTTCATCCCCCTCGTTTCCAGTTAGAATAAAATCTATACATATAATAAAATTGTAACTAAGCCGAATCTGTACATTAAATATTTTTTGGAAAATCTTATTGAAATAAACATTATTGTCTGTCTGTCTGTCTTTCTGTCTGTCTGCCTGTCTGTCTGTTACCGCATCACAGAAAAACCACTGGAGGGATTTTGATCAAATTTAGTAAGGTGATAGCTGGTTATCCGGGTCACCATATAGGATAATTTTTACCGCGGGAAAATGTCTCATTTCTGAGAAAAAATACAAAACAGCAATGTAAGAGTATACTAATATGTAAAACCTAAGAATTTGGTTTTTGGTAATCTGAACGCGGGCGGAGCCGCAAGCAATACTAGTATACTATATAAGTTTTAATAGGCGTTTTAAATAAAACTATTTTCACTAAATAGACCTATAAACATGTTTGCTGTAAATCATTCGAAATACAAAGTAAAATAAAACAGCGAAATTTTTTAAAAATAATAGTTTTTTTTATAAGAAATGAAAAAATATTTAAAAATTATAATATACACATTACACATGTTCCAAACGTCTTTAAAAATATTTTATGATTTTTTTTTTACCTCTATGTACTTTTATTATACTTATAAGAGATATAAAAATATTCATAACTAGCTTACAATTACCAAAATAAAACTTCTGGATTAAAAATTTACTTTATTATATATATTTTTATTATATTCATTATTGAATTTATATTCATTAAGAAGTTAACAAATTCTTGTGACTTCTCGGTACTTTTTTGTATTTAAAATGTTTCAGTTACATCGAAGAGCAAATGACATTGTTTTTCAACAGCTAATTTGCAAGCAAATTTCATCTAAACAGGTTCAGTAGATCCAGAGATTACCCCCTACAACGTCACAACCTCGCAACTCACAAACTCACAAACTTTACCTCTTTATAATATTAGTATAGATAGATAAGTAATTATATAAAATGAATATTACAAATATACAGCAGGTACGCAGCTAGCATTTTTGTAACAAATTTATTCCACAGTAATTAGATGTATAGATATATTTTTATAATAAGGAACAGAAAAATAGAAAGTCGATTTTGACCTACTTTTAACGTCGTATGAAAATGAAACTTTGTATGTACATATACATACATAATTCATCGCTGTGCCTCTAAAAACCGACAAGCGAAAATATTCAACTTTTCTATTAACTAGCTAGTCAACATATCCCTTCCTTAAAGCCTACATTTTATGTCTTATTTTCATAAAATATTTGTTTTAACTTTAAAATGATACACAGCTTCTTTATTTTGCGCGAAATACAGCAGTATTTATTAAAACACATCGGGATTTACGCAGTACTAATGCTTAAAAGAATATTGTTGAAAAATACACATAGCGTTTTTATCAAACTGATAAAAGGTGACTTTTATTGCAATACTAGATAATTAATTCGCTCCTAAGGCTTAGCTTGAAGTTAGATAACGTACAACTTCCCTCAATAAATAAGCTATAAAATCAAACATATTTTTTTTCAAATTGGACCGGTACCGCCACAGATAAGAGCGTTAAAAAAAACAAAGTCTTCAATTTGATAAATTATAGTATATTTTTAAGATTAAATAAAAAACCTGATACTAGGACTATACTGGTACTATTAAAATTCGAATAAACAAAAATGAATTATGAACTTGTATCGTCAAACACATGGTATTGTGTCTAATGTAAAACCAGCTACGTGCTGCTGAAGGTGCGAAAAGTGTAACTTTCAACATATTACAAAATACTCTATGTGCTTTTTGCACATATCGTTTTTTTACGTCCATTTTTGTAAAAAATATACATAGGGCATTTTGCTATTTTCGGATCTTGTAGTATATATATATATATATATATATATATATATATATATATATATATATATATATATATATATATCAGAAATCAGTTTTTTTGATATGTGGCTTACTGAATACTATTGAATTATGCAATAAACTCATTTTAACAAAAAAAATGTTTGTCGGTTTTTGCAGGCGTAGTGACCTTATGTAGTTCGGATGACAATGCTATAATTTGGTATCTTGGAGCTTATCTGATGATAGAGCCAAGAAGGGGACAGTGGAACTCTTTAGTGGCTAATAATAAATCACTGGAATTTGGATTCATCGTTTGCTCATCGTTTTGACGAGTCGCATACATTCCTCAAAAGCGTATAGTTTTTTTAAAAGTATATTCTTAAATAAAACTTTACACAAATATAGTGAGATCCAGTAATTCTATCTTAGTAGTTAAATATTTATTTTAAAAGCTTCTTATGTTAAAAAATGCGTTCTTAACGCTGGACAAATATCACATATGAACTGGACAAAATACTTTAGCATATTAATTACTCATTAACTTTTTATAATAGGCAATATTTTTTTTGTTAAAGAAATTATTATATCTTTTATTTATTAGACTTATTTTTGTAGTAATTAAGTAAGTAATTACTAATCACTTTATAAGCAGATTATAGACTCTGTTATTGTTATAGAATGATGTGTTCTTATATAATTGGAAGTACATAGCAATTTAAATAGATGTAAGGCATGTGTTAGATGTAAGTTAATATGTACAAATGTTGGAGATCCATATAAATAAATAAATAGAAAATTTAAACATTTGCAATTCTGGAATATAAAGCCATGCTAAAAACCGACATTCAATACTTACTATCAAAAATCGGAAACAGAAAAGTGAAAAATTGCTTTCCTATTGTATTACCACATAAGGGATAGAGGTGGAGCTATATTTATTTTAATCCACAATGCTAACAATATACTTCACAATAAAATTGGATTACAAGAAGAAGCCAACTCCATATACATATTTACTCGTATGGATACAAACAACTCGGTGACAAAACCAAACGTCACTAGAGCAGATTATGGTTTAATACATTTTTATTACGACCTTAAATTTATATTAAGTAAAAGAAAAGGTAAAATTAATGAATGAGACCAGCCTATAGCTTATGTAGGTATTAAAAATATATGAAAATTTGTAAAAAAACACAATTTGTAAAAATATGTACAGCAAAATTTTCGTGTTCGACTGTCTTTACTGCCTTTGACTCTTCTTTCATGTAAATATATAATCAGTACTAGCAATATCATTAAAATAGAATATTTAATACAAATAACTTCTTAAAAAGTTAAACAAAAAATTTATTAAACTTGCTCTATTTGGTTACAGTATTGAGATTAAACTAGAGAAAAGAATTTTTAAAGTTAAAACAAGTGTTTATTATATTAATGCCAAAATCAAAGATTCTACGATAAACAAATTAGGACTTTATCTATGACTATTAATTAAGTCATAGTTTAAAATGCTTTCGTTAGTCACAGAAGCGGACACTAGGGAAATCTCATCACGCCAATTAACTTTTCAAATAAAACGCAACCTTAAAAGGAAATTAAGATTTATGTTTGTCAACCATAAATTGTCCACCAACCTACAGTTGGCCAGCGTGGTGGACTATAGCCTCTTCCCCCTCGTTTTGAAGGGAGGCCCGTACCCAGCAGTGGGACGTTAAAAAGGGCTGAATACATACATACATACATACATACATACATACATACATATATACATACAACCACATAATACATATAGGTTCATAGGATTTCAAAGCTACTTATTTCACATTCGAATTTGTTAGTTATGTATATTTAAAAAAAAATCATAGAATGTCAACGTGATATGAAATATAATAACTAGCTATAAATCGTTAGTTATTATTTCATACAACGTTGATGTTGACATTGAGTAAGACCTTGCTTCGCTTGGACGCGTCTCTAGGTGCATATAGGAGTACCTATATGTTACTCCCAAGTCGTAATCTATCTTGTACTGAATTTTATCCAAATCAGTAGTTTCAGCATGAAAGACGAACGAATACACATAAGTATACACATATTAATTTTTACAATAATATAAGTAATCCGTTTATATATGAACTAGCATTGCTCGCGGCTCCGCCCGCGTTCTAATGACCAAAACCCAAATCCTTAGGTTTTACATATTAGTATTCTCTTACATTGCAATTTTTGTATTTTTTCTCAAAAATGAGATATTTTCCCGCTGTAAAATGTATCTTATATGTTGACGTGGATAACCAGCTATCACCATACCAAATTTTATCAAAATCCGTCCAGTGGTTTTTCACACACCGACAGACAGACAAAAATTCTAAAAACTTTAGATTCGGCCTCTGTATCGATAACAATGTTTATTTCAATTAGACTTTCCAAAATAGTATCTAATGTACAGATCCGGCTTAGTTACAATTTTATTATACCTATGTATAGACTGAAAATGAAGTATAAATTTAATAATAAATTTTAGTATTTACCTTGGAAATATTACCAATTATACCTACAACTTAAGAAATACATAATATTTTGCAATTTTCTTTATATGCATAAATTGTTTATATATTCAACTAATTCAACTAAAAAAAAATATACAAAAATTGAAATATATATTACTTCAAGTCATAGAAATGCCTAGTCTGGCGACCGATTGATCTTTGAAGTGCATTCAGCACTAGCTATATAACAAGTTTGTCCTTTAATTATTCAGTTGGTGTTGAACTCGCGACCAGAATGGACTTCTCTGACAAAGTTGTGTTAATCACAGGAGCGAGCGGTGGCATCGGTGCGATCTGTGCCGTTGACTTTGCCAAATTACATGCAAAATTATCCTTAGTAGGCCGTAATGAAGATAAGCTTAATAATGTCGTCGATCAGTGCGAAAAAGCAAGTGGGATAAAGCCTCTCGCCGTAATCGCAGATATAAGCAAGGCGGAAGATATATCTCGTATCATCAAAGATACCATTAACCAATATGGGAAACTGGATGTACTCGTCAATAACGCAGGGATGCTAATCATGGCCGGAGTTTTAGATGACATTTCAAACTACGATCGTATATCAGCCACAAACGTTCGTGGTCCGTATATGCTCACCCAACAGGCCGTCCCACATTTGATCAAAACCAAAGGCAACATAGTAAACGTATCCAGTGTCCTGTCTACCGTTACAATACCGGCAATGGCACCTTACTGTATATCGAAAGCCGCGCTTGATATGTTCACAAAATGTATGGCATTGGAATTAGCCTCCAAAGGCGTTAGAGTCAACTCTGTAAATCCAGGACCAGTCACTACTGATCTATTTAAGAGTGCCGGAGTCCCTGAACACCTTATTAAAGATTTATATGCAAGTACGGGGTCGAAGTTGCCTTTAAAAAAGGTAGCTCAAAGTGAAGATGTTTCAAAAATGATTCTGTTTTTGGCAAGTGATAGTTGTGCAAATTGTATAACTGGAAGCTTTCACATCATTGATTGTGGTCTACATCTCGGACAGCCCGTTCTTATGTAGGCCATTAAAAATATGTCTAAAATTAAAATATTATAACTGTACTAACTAATAATATATGTAGTGTAAGAATTATATATTAATAGTTTTGTGACAGTTTATTTTAATTAAATAAATTACCTATTAGCTAAATTATGGTTTTATGTTACTTAATTAATTCATAATAATTATCTAATACTTCTACATTATGTTTAATAATTATAATATTTTTAGTAAGTATATTTTTATAATTTAATTCCATCTTGCTTAAATGGTCACTCTGAGATTCATAAAAAAGCCATTCTTAACACCTTTTTCCTATTTCTGTAGCAAATAAAGCGAGAAAGAAATATTAAAATATGTTAAGAATCGTATCGAGAGAAATAACAAAAGCTAAAGGGTATAGATAAGGGAAGTGCTGCTACTAGAGGTCCGTCGAGAATCGTTTGAGTTGTTTCCTTTGGTTTTCACCTGAAAATACCTTTTAAGAAGGCGTGGTAATATATTTGGCTTTCTCCACCCCCCTAGATGTGCTAATCTACCACGCTATCTAACGCTTTCTGCATTATCGCCGCAAATGAATTGTACTTCCCCTAAAGGTGTAACATGGAAGATTTAAAAATAGAAATTTCGAGGTAAATTTTTTATATCCCTATATTTTATTTGTTTTTTTTTTATAAAAATGGGAGTGAGCATAATTAAAGTAATTTTATAAACTAGAAAAACATATTATAAACTTAATATAATTAAATTATAATAAAATATATGTAAGTATAATGATGAATGAAACTAAATATTCAGTAATTTCTGCGGGAAAATATTTTTAGCTGCCTTTTTTTATGTAAACAATAGGCTGAGATATTTTTCATAAAACAATCCAAGACCCTATTATAGCGAAACATCAAGCCACTCGGTAGCGTGTCCAGCCAAGTTCAAGCCAAAGGAACTTGCGAGCAGCACCGTGTGTACACGAACCATTTAAATCTGAAAAAAAATGTCTTTCTCAGGAGAAAAGGTTCTATGATGATTAAATAACATTTTCCTATTCCGCTTTATCCACTAACGAATAGTCAAAAAATGATGAAAAAAAAGATTGAATTTACATATCTCTTTGGAATTATGAATAATAATAGTTTCTTTACAAAAACGTTAATTTATTTGATCGAGTATCGGAGTGTCAGATTGTCGGTGTGTCAAAATGTCTGAGTATGGGAGTGTCGTGTGTCTGAGTATCAGAGTGTCGGAGTGTCTGATAGTTGGAGTGTCGAGTGTCTGAGTGTCGCAGTGAAGGAGTATCGTAGCGTCCTCGGCATGTTAGTCAAACAGTTTCAGTCAACAAATTAGTGTAGTAGATATATATAATTTTTAATAAACCAATAAGATAGCCATACAAAATCATGTCCATTTTAATAATTTCTTAAAACAATCCTTAAAATATTTGTAAGTCAAATTTTCTTACATACTTTAAATAAAAATTGGATAATTATTTCCAATTAAAGTAGATATATATCACTTGACTTGAATGTTAATTATAAACTTCGGTAATAAATTTAAGACTTCGCTTAACACCTCTCATTAGAACATTCACCCATTTTCAGGAGCAAATTTGTTAAATGTTGGCGTTATCCTAATTAATATAATCCCTACATATACACGACAGACGCGACCGCGCTTATTGTTTTTGAACACAATCGATTCTTTCAATTAAATTATAAGTTAGGGCTGCCTTATTATTTAAGCTATAGATTAATTGATGACGATATTGCAATAATATTCACAATATCATCATGGCAATATTAGCATTTATTTCGGCATACGTTCGAGTCACCAAGTTTCCAAGCAAAGAACTGAATATTTCTAGTACAATGCTAGATATAGTCTATGAAAGGAATTCATAAACTAAGGCTAGTTACTGTAGAGCCGAAAAAAAAACTACGTTCCATTACAGCAATTTACTAACTATTTTTCGGGTTAATATATAGCCTATGACACTCAGAAAGAACGTGGCTTTCTATTGGTAAAAGAATTTTGAAAATCGGTTCAGTATATCCAGAGATTACAGTCACAAACTCACAAACTCACAAGATCACAAACTTTACCTCTTTATAATATTAGTATAGATTACCAGCCATCCTTGTTCTCTCGATGTTACCTACATACATAAGATCTAATTACTTTATATGTTGTACAAGTATTTATCTCCCTGTAATTACTCGTTTTGGTGTGCGATCACTCTCTTGTGACTATTTCCTTTAATTAAGTGTACATCCGTCTTACCCATTGCTTTGTTTATGATATACTAGCTTTTAACCGCGACTAAGCCTGCCTATTTATATTTAAAGAATTTTAGTTATCTAAATCTATACTCTTTTTTTAACGTTGGGAAATGCATTCCCCACGAGGTGTGGGACTCACCGGCAAAGCCAGTACTACCCACTAAAACCCAACAAAGCCTTCCCCCGTCTTAATGGGGCGTCGCAGGATCGCTTACGCATTCAACTACGACGCCCCGACGGCAGGTCTGCCGAAGCAGACCACAACAACCACGGGGTTGCTCCAAGGTCCACTCTGCAATCAGAGAAGTACCAGGAGCAACCCGCATGGTACACCGCCCTCCGAATAGGGCCACCTCCCACCGCCCACCGAAGTGGGCCACCTCCCTGTGCGTTTCTTGGCTTCGCGCCCGGTTGGGTTGCCGGGCACTACTGAGCCCCCCCACCACGACAAGGTGAACGCACGTTGGGGGGGATCTAAATCTATACCCTTAATTAAATTAGTTTAACTTTAAATAAAACTGTACGGCAAAAACAAGTCATTTTATAGAGATACTAGCGACTCACCCTCGCTCCGCTCGGGTTCGTCCCTACTTACGTTATAACAGATAGACAGACAAAAATTCTAAAAAATATAGATTCGGCTTCCGTATCGATAATAAGTCAATTTCAATAAGAATTTCCAAAAAATATTTCATGTACAGATTCGGATTAGTTACGATTTCATTATATGTATTGATATAGTCAAAATAATTTTAATTAAATTAAGTAAACGCAATTTTCTCTAAAAATGGTCGAAGCCCGCCATCCATTATATTTGTCCAGCATCTAGGAAGGTCCTTGCCCAGCGGGACGTTACAAATCCCAAATTTCATTTTATTCTAAGTTATTTTACTAATAAAGATATTATAAATAAAGCGATGGTTTCTAATTGTACAATTGTACAAAGTGAAATGTTCACAAAAGTCATAAATAGCCATTTTAATGCGGTTACACTTAATGTACGCCATTAGATAAGTGTATAGAGGAAATATGAGCCGTTTTATTGTATCGCTTCACGTGATTATTGGCAATACACTTTAATGTACAATCAGCAGCAAAAACATATGTTAATTTAATTAATTTGTTTATTTTAAACCAATTTCTTCATTTTGATGTACATTTTAATAAGCTTTAATAATTACATACATTAATTATTATTACTGTATTTTTATATTAAATTTAATGAATACAGAAGATAAAAAATATATTTCACTGCGAAATACTAAAAAATTATTTAATGTTAAAAAAAATCAATTCATTTAATGATTTTAAATATAAAATACATACAAATTACTTAAATTATTGTAAATTTAAAATTTTATTGAAAACTCTACTACAACTTCGAAAGACGGAAATTATAAGCACATTCTATTTAAGTACCGCACAGGTCTCCAACAAGTTTGTTGATACAAGCTGATGCTCCTGTACTGGCAATAACTCCTGTTACAAGTTGCAAATTGGAGGCTCCGTATACTTTATCGCTTATATAACAAATATAGTTTCGATTTGATATTTTGACCTACTTTATAAAGAGAAGGTACTCAATTCGAATATATGTATTTAAGTATGTTTGTAACATCATGTTTTTTTTAATAAATAAGTAAATGTAAACTTTTTGACTAAAAGGTACATATTTTTAGTGAAAAAGTAATTGGACCCAGTTATGCAAAAAACAGCCATGTGCGTAAAAGTACCAACAGAGTTATAAGCATTTTTCTGTCACTAGTTGCACTTGTGGTATGTTTTGTTTTTCTGGTTATTTTAAAATTGAACAATATTTATATAAGTATTGTTTATTTTTTATAATTATTTTATTTTTTATAATAAAATGCTTATAACTCTGTTGGTACTTTTACGCACATGGCTGTTTTTTGTATAACTGGGTCCAATTAAGGTTTATTTTAAATATTATTGAATACTAATGATTGAATTTTATTATAAAGTATCTACGTTCGATTACCTTTAGTATATAATAATAACGAATTAATATACATATCTTCTTTTAGTAACATTGTAACGACCGCAGAATACTGAACAAATAATAGTTAATAGGAAAAAAAATTGAGACTAAAATTTAAAATGACTTGTTCGTAACGTAACGTAGCAAGGGATGACTTTCCAAGTATAGTCGCAAGTTCATTTCCCGCACGGGTTACAATTTTGTATTAAACACACAAATAGCCTAATTTTGTCATACATCACAAGTTATTAATGAATAAGCTCAGCTTTACGATATTTCTGTGACTTTCACTTAAATACTATCAATACAAAATAAATTACTTAAAATGCCTTTTTGCTGGCTTAAATTTATATTTATCTTAAAAATTAGGGATAGCAGTGAAAAGATTCTACGCAACATCTTTTCCCTGTACGTGAGCGTCCTATTTGCTGACAGTAATCACAAGGACTCACAGGACTGCGCCCTTCGAAATATATTGGACTCGTTCGTTTGGCCCTAGAGACCGTAGTGCATGCTTACTCGACACCTTGGAAGAAAACGAACAAAAATATACTCTATCACTCGAATTTTGAGTCCAAATTATAAACGAAGTCATTTGAATTTAGGAAATGACTAGCTCATTAAATACGTGTACTTTGTGCGACAGCATCGCGCTACTGTGTAATTTAAACCGTACGTTTTTGGTATAAACACAAAACGTTCTTATCTCGTTTAATAGTCAGTATAGTGATGGAATATATAATCATATTTGATAGTTATTTAGCTTCTCATGAAACTGTACATGATATCAGAAACCTTTCAAATCAAGTTGTACGGTACCGATATCTCAACAAATATCTGTTCACACCGCAGATGTGGCTACTTAAATAGCTACACTTAATACATCTCCATATAAACTTATTTCACAATTACATATCATATACGGATTTTTTTATGTAAGCAAAAGTTCGCGCTTAAATTTATTCGTAGCAATATCGTTATTTATCTATTAATAAAAAAATACAGTGTACATGTACAATATACACTATCTTTACATATAATAAAATTGTAACTAAGTCGAATCTGTACATTAAATATTTTTTGGAAAGTCTAATTGAAATAGACATTATTATCGATACAGAGTTCGAATCTATATTTTAGAATTTTTGTCTGTCTGTCTGTTTGTCTGTCTGTCCGCATCATGAGAAAACCCCTGGACAGATTTTGATGTGGTATGATGACAGCTGGTTATCCGGGTCAACATATAGGATACTTTTTACCGCGAGAAAATATCTCATTTCTGAGAAAAAATACAAAAACTGCACTGTAAGAGTATAATAATATGTAAAACCTAAGAATTTGGTTTTTGGTCATTTGAATGCGGGCGGACCCGCGGGCAATGCTAGTTAATATATAAAGCTGAAGAATTTGTTTGTTTGGACGAGCTCATCCCTGGCTCTACTGATCGAATTCGAAAAATTGTTTTTACGTTTTATAGCCTATTTATTGAGAAAGGCTATAAACTATCTAACATAACACTAAGACCTACGACAACGTAGCAATTCTACAAATTTAAACGAAGTGGGCGGAGCCGCGGGAAATCGCTATTATACAACACTTATACTGTGAAGATATTAAACCTTACCTTCAAAACGCAGTTAATAGATATCGCGTCATTAATATGTTTATAATCCATTGGTTTACGTAACAAGATAAAATAAAACGGGTAACAACTAAGAAGAATGTTATAGCCAATACTTCAGTGATCAAGGTTTGATGTTTGTTCATAACTCGAGTTCATGCGAACCTCGACGGTTTTCTTAACACGGGTGTGTAATAAAAAAGATCGCAGGCAATCATATTTTATCGGCAAAGCTATTTTTCGCAGGCGGATCTTTCCTTCCGCAGCGCTTACACACTTTATACCTAATGCCTCAATATATACCCGCAGCTACATGAACCAGCGTGTTAACAATAACAGAATCGAGACGACATACTTTATTGAGATAACTTTAGTTATGGAGACCTTCGCTGATTTATCGTAGGTTTTCTGCTTATTTCTTTTTCCCCAAATTTTTTGTTACTGTATATATATACATATATACATATATACTGTATATATATACTATATATATATATATATATAGTAACAAAAAATTATAAATTTTATTTTATAATATATATATATATATACTTTATACAATAAAATTTATTGTTTATTTGTGTAAATTAATGTTTGTTTTCAAAGAGAAAAAAAAGCAAAAATAATTTTCTAAAAGTGTTTTTATTATTATGTTATGTTCTATGGAACTATAAAGTTACAGTAATAAAAATACGTATAAAGAACGAAATAATAACTTTTAATTTAAAAAAATATATAAATCGATAGCATTAATACTTGCTGAGTTAAGGCATTTATTTACCTTCCTGGCTCCAGAATCTCAGCTCTTCGATCAATAGTCTCCGAGTTATGGATCTGTGACATACGAACATGCGACAGGCAGCCATGACGAACAACAAACTCGCCCTAGTACACAGTAAAGAGACTTTTTAATAAAAAATAATGAATAGGTATAGAATTTACTTAATTTAATATACAAAAATAAACCAAACATTTTAATAATAAGTGAGACATATAAATATTTTTTTTATTTAAATCGAAACTATGAATTTATAAATTTATTTATATGAAAAAATTGTTTTTCATGTACATAATATGATAACAAAATTTACGTTGAAAACGAGTTGTATTTTATTATGTTGTTCAGCCTTGCACCTTATGGCGCGTGTTCATAAAATAATGTCGGGATCCGCCTCGATTGACGAGTTTTCTAAATAAATGTATATTTAAAAAAACAGTAAAACATAAAACATATTTTTTTGTATTTTTTTAGTTATTTTACAATCTATATTTTTATTAAAATTATTATTTTAAATACGTATTAACCAACTCTAAGTACAGACCTCGTACCTTGTTCATTTAAAGATATTATAAGTTTTGTTAGATATCATAAATGTTTCTTTTGAACATGCTCACCTAGATTCATTTATAAATAAGTCAAGAAAATAAAAAAGATAAATATATGATTATGGATACATATTTCCAAAGTAACAATATTTTTTGTCAAAAAAATGTTAAACAAGAAGTTGGAAAATCTACAACATTAGGTAATTATTTTATACAAAAAAAATGTCTCTCAATCGCATCTTACGTAAAACAAGGAAGAAAAGCTAAACATTAAACTAGGTTCACAGCCTTTATTAGACACGTATATGTTATTTTGTATTACAAATTTATTATGTTTACAATATGTGGGAATTTAGAGGGAACGTGACCTCACACCTTGGGAAGAGGTAACAACACAAGCAATAATTCAATCAAATGTGGCTTAACCAACCGCTCTCCATGTTTACCAAACACCTAGCTCACCGCGGTCTTGCATCTTAATTTTAACGTAAAATTCACTCAATTATAACCTTTACTAACAGGAACTTAGGATGCAATTTTACACTAGAAATTTATAATTCATCCTAATGAAAATCAGTTCAACAAGCCTTAAACATGAATACGTACATGTTGTTTGTGGTCGCAATTTACTATTGTAAATTAATAATGTGTAAAGATGAAGATAAAATTTCTAAAGGTAATTTTTGAAATTGCTTTCACCGCAAGACTTAGTAATTAGAAGCCAAAATAAATGAAAGACTACATACATTTGAGCTACTATGGCTATTTTATTTTCTGTACAAGAATTTTCGAATCTCAACAACTTTTACTTCTCTAATGTAAGTGAAAAGTATAAAGTTAGATAAGGTGAGTCTAGTCTTTCAGTCGGACCCTCGGGACTCGTAATGGAACTGTGAAAACCAGTGAAAAAGTTAAGAAAGCTTGTGGCCATTATTAGATTTATTTGCCTTAGAGTTAAACTCTAAGTACATCTACCTCGTTGACTTAAAGATTGAAAGTCAATAATATTCCCAGTAAAACATTATTTTTAGAAAATATATTATTATCTAGAAAAAGGTGAGTAAATCACTTGCCAAAACAAACAGTGTTATGTTCACAAATCCTCTTTTGTGATCTCAATCAATATTTTGTCTTTAATGGGCATTTGTACATATGAACATGACGTTTTCAAAGTGTACACAGTGTAAGTGCAAGTACAGAGTGTACATTAATACATTCAGTACATTTAGTAGGTATATTACGTAGTTATTAATTTTTACTATACTATATAAAAAGTTTACGTCATTTATTTAATTATATAATTTACTATCGACTCACCCTCGCTCCGCTTGGGTTCGGGTTACGTTTTAACGTTTAGTAAAGATTTCTCAGTTATGAGATATTTTTCCGTAGTAAAAAGTATCTTATATGTTAACCCGGATAACCAGCTATCATAATACAAAACTTTATCAAAATCTCTCCAGTGGTTTTCTCGTGATGCCGTCACAAACATATAGACAAACAGACAAAAATTCTAAAAACTATAGATTCAGCCTCTGTATGGATAATAATGACTATTTCAATTAAAATTTTCCAAAAAATATTTAATGTACAGATTCGACTCAGTTAGAATTTTATTTTATGTATAGATATCGCTAGCATTCTTGCCACAATTCCACATTATTTGTATAGTAATAAGTGTGTTGTGTTGTGTACCTATTTATTTACATAAAACGGAGCTTTTAAATAAAACTATCTTTTCGGATTATTTCGCGGATTTATTTTGATTTTTGGATCCCGACGTTTCGAATGCTTTACAGCAATCATGGTCACAGGAGAGACTAAGGTCTAAGGTTATAGACGTCTCAAACAGATATACTTGTTACAGACAAAGAAAGTATTAATAGGAAGCTATTAAATTTCAATTTATTTAAATTTCAATTTAATTATTATTTTCTCTAGCATGCTATTGGCCTAATGAGATATACGAGCCATGTTTCGGTGGCTGTGCGGAGATTTCTTGTGATAATCCTCGTAATCACCTCCGACCCTGCTACCCTTACTGCGAGCCTGGCTGCGTGTGCGAGGAGCCTTACGTTCGCGACGACCGCACGCATCAATGCGTTCTACCTCAAGATTGCTCGCCGTATGTTGTAAAAAAATTAAATCTAACTTAATCTAATTTACCGAAAGTAGTAAGTAGGTGCCTAATTGAAAAGCCTTATTTGAGATACAATTAGTGTTTTGACCTTTCATTTTATTGTTGAATCAATATAATAATCTACAGCTATGCTAATAATAATAATAATAAGCTACAGAACCACATTAATGACCGATACCCTCAACGGCCGCGGACACGCCGGCGTTACAGATTTCTTAGAAATTTAATTAATTTCTTGGAAATTTACCTGGAGGTGTAAGCTGAATAAAAATATTTTACCTAACGTTGCTCATAACTTTACAAACTCTGAAGGATCATTTAAAATATTTAACAAATTTATTATATAACATTACAGAACTCAAATGGGTATTCCAGTTCCAAACAGGAGATCCGGGATTTCGAAGAACGTGTTGAAATCTTCTAATAGACACCGAGGTCACGTTAAACGGGAAGAAGACATCGAATTAAATGATAATAATGCACCTTATCACGCAGACGAGATGCAACGAGAGGAAGTTTCCAGAATGGGAAATTATTTTAACATTGTCATCGCGCCACCACCCATCAAAGCAATTCGACCGAGAAAAACATATAATGAAGTTAAAGAAATACCTGTAAAAACTGCTTAAAATAAAAATCTATTTTTAAAATCGTACTTTCCTTTATATTTTTATTCATTTTATTTCACTTTACTTTAGTCACAGTGTTAACACATAGAAAATTAATTGTGAATTATACGTAACATATTATATATAATTATATAATTTAAATATTTAAGAATAATTTAAAATCCAGGTTGCAAATCAAAAACTGTTTTGCTTATGGTCATTATTTAATTTAAAATAAATACATATATCTAAATACATATATCTCTTAATTAATTTATAGATTATATGTTTACATAATATGCTTTCTCCAATGATATTTCTATCATAAATTTTCTAATTATCCCTACTTGTATACTTTATGTGTGGGTCAGAGCTAAATCAAATAAAAGTGGCAAATATAACAGTTCTAGTGTTTTATGTCTTTTTGCGATCGTAAACAAACCTTAGCGACGGTGTAGTTCTTTTATCAAACAATCAAGCGAGTTAGCTTGATTGGTAGCTAATTTGCAGTAATTAGGAACGGAAAACTAAAATTATTTGTAAACGTTATGAATTGATCTAAATTGAAACTAAATTATGAGATATCTGTTGCTCTTAGCATTATTACTTTGTGAGTCAGCAAATAAATGTTTTGTATATATTTTAATTAAAAAATAATATATTATTGTCAAATCAAACGCATTCCAGATGACATTGCAGACGCTGCAAGACCCCATATTTACGACTACGATGACCCAGATAGTATCAAAGCGCATTCCTTGCTTGATGAAAGGCGAAATTGGAGAAAGAAGGCATTGTTGAAACCATTTGAACACAAAGACTTGGATGACAGACGATATGAACACGACGTTCTCGGGTATTTGGACGACTTGGACCCTAAGCATTATGTCGCGAACGATAAACGACGAGAGATGGATCCCTCAGAGACGCAGTACAAAGAACAAAGGCGTTATGAAGACGCAGATAATTTGAATATGCTACCGAAAATAAAAACGGAAGTAGGGCACAATGCTCATGTCATGTAAATATTCTAAGTTATTACGAACTTGTCATCATTCATTCTGACCTGACGTGATGTAGTTGTATTGATTCGTTTTGGAATTTCGCAGATCAAAGGGAAGTGAGAAGAAAATGCCTTTTATAATGACGTGCGACAGGACGTACGAAAGGTAGTATTTATTAGTTTGAATATTATTTATAAAGGAGATAGCAAAAATATTTTAAAATTATGTTATTCTGTAGAGTGTTTTCTTTAATTATTACAAAAAAAAAACGTATGTTTGTGTGTGTACTTATGTACGCACATAAGAAGTTATACTTCTTTGGCGTAACAAAACAAAAATAACTAAGGATTTTTTTATTCATGATTTTCTCTGTCTATAAAAGGAATGATATATTAATAAAATAACTAATTAAATAAGGCATTTTAGGCATATTACAATCATATTATATTTATAGAATATCATTTAACAAAAGAATATGGTATTATATATAATTTACCACACAATAGCAACGGTTACCATGCCAAAAAATTGTTATCAGCTAACTTCATGATGTTGATTGTTGGCTGTCGGTGTGCCCTCACATTATAAAAATTTTACTCTCATATTTTTTTCCAAACGTCTTAAAAGAAGTATAACTTCAATAAAAAAAAGAATTATAAAAGCACTACTTTTCTACATTGTTTTTCTATTTTTTAAAGGAGTCTAGTTTCTAATAGATTGATTATTTGTATTCCTCAATTGGAGTACGATTCGTTAAAAATTACGAAGGACTAATTTATGGAATAAACTTAAAACTTGTTTATCACTATTGGTTCGCCTCTCCCTATACATAGTATTTATTATATGCACGTTTTTCAGTATTTTCTTGGATCTATAGTCTTTATAGAACCTATGAGGCTATGTCATTCTCCAGCTCACAAACACTCTATGGAAAAAATCACGACGAGTCGTGATCCCATTTTTGATTGTAAGAAGTCGTTTGGTAAGTTTTTGTAATGTAAGTAAGAATTTACCAATATATTTATAGATACGAGCCATGCTTCGCTGGATGTGCAGCGGTTACATGCGACAACCCCCGCGAGAGGCTCCGTCCCTGCTACCCCTTTTGTGAGCCGGGCTGTGTCTGCGTGCCGCCCTATGTGCGCGACGACCGCACGCACAAATGCGTCCTCCCCGAAGAATGCACAAAGTAACTTTCTCAATAATGACAATAATCTTAAATTATAATCTGTTATTACATTTATGACAAGAACGTTTTGTTTTCTACATTCTTTACAACATTGGTGAAGTAAATGCCCAACTGGCACGTCTAAAAGGCACATAATAAAGATTTGATTTGAATAATGTTAAGCTCTAATTAGATTTGATTAGATTAGGGTATTATATGTAGGGTATTGAAGGTGATAAGTTTATATTGGTTTTTGAGCAGCTAACATAGTTTTGTTTAAGCACTAACTTTGATCTCCATTTTATATAATTTTGCATCTCCTAAAAACTAATCCCATTGAAATACATTATAGTTCTAAGTTTAACACGATAAAACACACGGGCAAATAAAATAGACAAATAAGTTTTCAATAATTAATCAGTCGATATAGCATCCCCTACTTCCCAATGATACCTTTTCTGGCATTTTTGCATATTTTCCCCAAAATTATTTAATTCAATATACAACTTAGACACTAATCTGTACATATAAAAATCCGAAGAGGTCGAATAAACATATATAATACATAGAAAAAAAAGCTAAAAATCGAGTCAGGGGGATGAGAAATAGAACGAACGATAAGATGATAAATTGAACAAATTCTGTTTTTTATATTCACACGGTTTTTTTTGTTTGTTTGTTTGTACTGAATAGGCTCCGAAGCTACTGAACCGATTTAGATAAAATTTGGCCGGAAATGATCCTTTAAGGGGGTCAACATGGGGACGAAAGTTTGTATGGGGAAGCAACCTAGAGACGAACTAAGTCGCTACTCGCTAGTAAAATAATATATAATTAGAGTATATATCAGACTAGCACAATCCACAACATCGAAGGTCTCGGGTTCGCTACCTGGATTGACACTTACATATGTATCCACTATAATATATATATATATATATATATATATATATATATATATATATATATATGTTTGCTATTGCGTACTTAGGATAAAATAACATCATAATAAGTAGTTTTATTAGTACGTTTTTTACCGTATATTTTTTTGTAATTCCTAAATAAATATACATATTGGGAAAAAATTATCATTTTGTCGTTACTCTTCTTGCCCATGTACCTACCTAAAATCATAAAAATCTTATTATTCTTAATTTTATGCATAAAAAAGAAAAACACGCAAAATATATACCGTAATGTAGTATGTTCTTTGCAGAGGCCTCAAAGGAATTCCCGACCTCGGCGACGACACTTAGTAAGAAACAAACGCCACTGATGCAGACAATAGACATTACACAACCTTGACATCCTCTGTTACAATAAAGGGATCTTGTTACAGCGATACAATTTCGATCTGCATTTATGTAATTGTAAATAAAATATATTAATTATTATAATACAAATATAAAGCCACCTTTATATTACTAACTGATACATTTTATTTTGCCCTTTTCATTTATTTATTTGGCATTAAATAATTACATTTTTTATTATCACCACTAGTCACTAAAGTCTTGTCCAGTTTGGAAAGAAAATGCCTCAGTCTCAAATGAAATGGCAAAAAAAAACTCAATGAAAACCCCTTAAAACTCATTACTGAAAAATCGCAAGTTAATTTCATTCATATAAATTAAATTGCCTCCATAATAAGTTTTATAGAAATTTTAACATATTTGCGCTTACATGATGGTTTAATAAAAACACAGTAATCAGTCATTTTTTTGTATGACTTTGTCAAATTAAGAATATAATAAAAAAACTGAATCTGATTTTGACTATTTTTTCCTAAAACGCATTATTAACATCAAATTAGAACAAAGGAAAGTTATTCATTGATCGCATTACAATACAACATTGTTTCACCAGAGCAATCCACTAGAACAAAATTAGCATTGTTCATTGCGCTGCGTAGTTTTCCTAATGGTTTCCGTGTGAAAAGCTATACGACATCAATGGTATTAATTAACATATTGATTAAAATATAAATATTAAACCTATTATTTCTATAAATAACTCCTACACAAGGAAAAGGTTACGTTTAGATGCAAAATAATAACAAACTTTTTATGACTTCCGGATGTGTTTTCGCCAATTTACTAAACAGTTATGTCGTCCTTGGCAGTTTTGTTTTTGCTAAAGTTTTCAACGTTTCATTCCGTTTTAAGCGAAGCTACATATGGTGAGTCGCTCATTTTTAGAATAAAATAAATTTAAAATTTTAGAATAAATAAACCTCTTTTTATTTATTACAATCTCTTATGAAACCTGATTTGCTATTTATAGATAACAACAAAACGAAAATTATAATTATTCTTTTATAACGTATACCTACGAGTATTTATACGGCTTTGCTTTACGGCTGCTTTGGCGGCTACACTTTGCTCCCGTACCAGGTCCAAAGCTGATCACTCTTGAAATTTATATATATATATATATATATATATATATATATATATATATATATATATATATATATATATATGTGTGTGTATGTAAAATTTCATTCAAATAAAAGCGTATTAATTTATTGTACAGAATGTGGAGAGCATGGCAGATTCGAATATTGTATTGACGAAATACCTGGCTGCGTTATCGGCTGCCATTGTCACCCTGGATACTATTTCGACACTGACTCTAAAATATGTGAACCGAAGTATAACTAAATATTTAATTTCATACTTAATACCAAATATACCACCATTTTATTCAATATATCTAACAAATATTTTTATAAAATCCGCAGAGCTGCTTTTCGCGTGCCTGTATTTCCATTTAATTCGAAGCAACCAGACCATCGCAATCTCTGCTTTGCATGGAACGCGCTAAATGAAATTTTGCTGTTTTAAATCAAACTATTACTTGAATATTAAATAAAATTCCATTAAATTCCGTCAAGTGCCACTACCTAAAATATACCGACAAAAGTTTTGGTAAAAGATAAACAATTTAAAAACAAACAACTTGTCACTTTTACTTCATGGTATGGAAATGTACTTCAAAATATTTAAAATTATTCTTAAATATATTAATAAAACAAAAACTTTTATATTACAGTTCTAAATTAATAGAACATCATAAGCGACTTAATATAGGCGAGCTAACGCGAGTACAAGACATTGCTGCTACCCCAAGCCTATTGAGTGAAACAGATTCGACCTTTACGAGTAAGCTTGATACCCATGTTGATGAAATAAGCAAAGATGCAAACGATTTAGGTGACTGGCTTTATAATCAATTTTTCAAAACAATTGAAAACCAAGTAATTAATAAGACCGGTAACAATGATATACCGTCACGGCGAAGTGGAGCGCAATCACTTATTACTAAGCCAAAACGGAGAAACAAGTGGAAAAGAGATCGGAAGAGAAAACAAAAAGGAAGGAAAAATATGAAAAAGAAGTTGCTACGTATAACAGAAGATGATAGTATGTTTGATATGAATTCACATTCCAGTTCAGATTCAAGCGACTCCAGCACTAGTGATTCTTCATTTGAACATGATCGACACAGTAGTGATGATGAACATGGGCACAAAAAAATCGTAATGGTTAATAAAAAACCGAAGCCACAATTACCTAGCTTCATTTTCTTGCCAAATTTAGATACGCCTTTTTATCCTCCTATAGGCCTACCGCCACCACCAGTAGTTCCCATGTATCCCATAGTCCCGGTTCCTCCAGTAATTCCAATTGGCGTTGGTAAGTTTCATATACGTAAGTACATATATACTATCAATCTCTTCTGTTTACGACTATATTTGTATATTTCTCAATTCAGCTGAATTTTTTTTGTTACCTTAGTATGTTTGTTACCTCACAACTTCGTCATTTATTAACCTATTTGGACAATTTTTATTTTGTTTGAAAGGGTATACTTTCAAATTGGTACCATTTTAATTTAAAAAAAAGTACCACCCCTAAGGGTGGAAAAATAGCTAATGATGAATTTAACCTATTTCTAATTGTCATATTGCCTTGAAATTTTGTAAGGGTTTCTATTTCCGTTGATAGTGCAGTGGTTCGGTATCGTTGATTTGATCTGACAATAAGGCCAGAAGGTGGATAGGTGGAAGTCTTTAACGGCTAATAGTAGATAATTTGAGTTTAGGCTTATTTTGTTTGATTTGACATGCCCAATACGTTAGAATTATCAAAGCGAATTTTAGTTTGTCAGTCTTCATATAAAAATTGCCATTAAACTAAATTTAACGGCTTAACTGGCTTGCTACTAATATGTCTACACTAAAAAGGCATAAATATAAACTTAAAAAAAACGACCATCAAATATTTTCGAAGTCGATGCCAGCCGATACAAATGAAAACTACCAATCACTTATTTTTTAACTTTTTATTGAAACATAATAGCATGCTTTGTTAATATCTACTTATTAATTTATTACTTTAATAATATTTTTTTAGATTGTACAACTGAGAGCACAAATACAAAGACAACAACATCTCCAACCACAATCTCAGAAGTCACTACCAAAGTTGTTACAGCGAAACCAACTACAGAAATTCCCCCGAAACAAGAATCTTCAAAAAAAACTGAAGACCCTACCACACCTAACCCGTATGAATATAAGACTTTGATTATAATTTTTACTAAAAACAAATAAATAAAATGTGAAGTATGGGACTCGTCAAAACAAATACCAAGAGTCGAGAGAAAGTTTTAAATCGATATTAAATATAAAAGTAGGTCAAAAGCGACTTTCAAAATTTTATAACATTTAGTTACAAACGAATTGATTGTAAAGCTAACTTAAGTTTAGATAAAATTTAATTTCTCGTTTTTGAAACCTGCACAAGTCGTTTACTCTACAAAGGGAGAGTTACAGTTATACTAACTAAAATAAAACAATATCGAAAAAAAAGATTTTTTTATAGGATTTGAATAAAATATACATATACATATACATATATAGATATATATTATGTGCCTTTGTACTAATGAATGGTTTTTAATGAGATACTCACAAATAAACTAAATATTTGAATGGAGAGCTAAATATTATAATAGCTAAGCAAGATAAGCTAAATATATAATACATATGTATATTGTCCCTTTCAAAATAAAATCTAGGATAAGGACGCCTAGACTCTCGTGCTATTATACTAAGCGATTATCAATAGAATGCCTACACAATTTTATGCATGCGCCTTATTGTGAGATAGAGCTGCTAAATCTATCAGTCGTGGTTCAGTGGTTGCAACATTATGTTGGCTGGTTTTCATTTAGTTGAGAGCCTGATATCGGTTTCTCGGATCTCCGATTCAAAATGAGTTGAAATACACGTAAACCGTACAATTTTCTTGCTTACCACAAATAGTACTATTTTTATCTCTCCCATAATTCTTTGCTATTTCTGTGGAATAAAAAATATTAATAACCTTCGATACAGAATAGAAATAGAAATTTAATCAATCAGAGAACAATAGTTTATTTACAATTTTATAACTCAATATACAGAACCTCATATAACGTTAAGTAACTATTTAATTGTATTTTGCTCATAGATTTAGCTATCAATTTACATAAAAGAAAGTTCTTATTGTATACACAATGAAATAAAGTAACTAAAGAGGACACAGACATACATACATAAATAAGAATACACAGTTTTGTTCCTTTTTTATGTTTTAGATTATGTATATATACCTAATAGGCATGCTTATTTATTTCAGTAATCGGCAATTTACAAATAAGAGAAAGAAGAAAATATCAAGAATCCAAAACAACTATGATGAAAATAAAATTGGGTAAAGTTATCAAAAACTAATGATATATTCGCACGTAACAATAGTTGTGACGATCAAATATTTGCACGGGCACGGGCCTCCCTCCAATACAAGGGAGGCCAGCCATAGTTCACCATGCTGGCCAAGTGCGGGATGGCGAACTTCACATGTCTTTTAAAAATTTCCTAGGTTTTCTCAGACAGGTAGGGTTTTCTAACAATGTTTTCTTCACTATTCGACAAGTGGTAATCATATCGAAAAAAATGATTCGCACATGAAAATATCAGAATTTAGAGACCCGGGCTGTGAACCCACTTCACTTGATTTCCCTAGCAAATCCATTACCACTTTGCTAGCACTGCCTCTAATTGTGCCTAACTGATACTTCATATGGAATTTATTGATCATACATATATAAAAAGGAATTGAATGTTAAGAGAAAACATATTTAAAGATGAATACAATAGAATATAATAGAGGTCTTATATATTTTATTTTTTATTTGTATCTATATGTCGGTCTTTTAATCACATGTGTACATGCCTGTAGGACGGATTTCAAAGCACAATTTGTTTTGTACCAAAACATAAATGGCTAGAATTAAAACGTAGCTATTTTATCTTTATCAATCGAATAAATCCATTTAGATTGTAAAACAATATGTCTCAAATCTAAGACTATTTTAAGGCTACATTTCAACATAATAAATAACATTATTATAATATGACGTTACTTAAAGATTTCTCTATTTACAATATAGGCTTGGCAGCCCGCATTCTGGAAACCGCCAAAAAATAGTAAGACCAATTTTTTTTTAATAATATATCAAATAATATATTTAAATGAAATATTATTGTTTTATTTTTCATTTTTATTTTACAGTTAGCACGACTGAAAGATAGGATGAATCATCGTCCTTCTGCAAAACTTTTGATGTCACCCTGGGAGAACAATAACAAATTAATGATGGATACCTATATAAGAAATAAAAATATTAAAAGTCCAGACGTTAATAATGCCATGTACGATGACTCTATTTTAGCAAACCAAATGCAAGCAAAACCAATGCAGGGAATGGAACCTCCAGAAAATGTTGACTTTAAGTATATAACAGAATTGATACATAGGGTAGATCTGAAGAATAAATCAAATTATTTACCACCAATAGAATATAATCCTCTCGACAGTCAAGAAGTATATAAGCCACAAAGGATCCAACAACACACACTTTCTGACTATGTTGTACCTCCTAATACTCCTGATGGTCGGCGATACCTTCGTCCAAGTAACCAACAGTCAAACGATGATTTATATTATACAAAACTCGGCAGAGATATAGCATCTATGATACGCGGTATCGATGCACAAAACAGACATGTAAATATTCAATTAGAAGCAACGCGTAACACTCCACAAAGTGATCTATATTTTAATGAAAATTCACCTCGATCGTATTGGGAACGGTCTGTACGATCTCCTTTAAGACTCTTAGAGACAAATAAAAACAAATTTGAGTATTTGAAAAGCAGTAATGAAATACTTTTTGATATTGAAAACAAGGTAGAAATCGTCGCTTCTACTGTACCGACAATGAGTTTACAGGAAATTGAAAATATCGTCAGCGTCATAGAAGCAGCAAGAAAGAATATAAAGAAAAAAGAAACTAGTATTAGAAATCTCATACCAAACACAAACAATTTAAACATTAATTTGTGGCCACAAGGGAAGTTAAGTAACAACAATGTGCCGTCTCCCAATCAACAAAATCATGAAACTAACAAAAACAAAATAGTAAAGCAAAAGAATGATATACCGCCAGGAACACATGGCATTCAGATGCATAACATTCACAGATTCGTGGCTTGGCAAAAACCTTCTAAGGATATGACACATAAAAATCAGTTTTCCAACACGAACGTTAAAATAAAACCTGATGCAACATCACCTTTACATTTACAAAAAAATTATAATAGAAACTCACCATATGAAACTAAACAGGTAAAACTTATTCCTCATCCAAATAATAATTCAAGACAATCGTTGTTAGGATATGACATGAATTCTTTATTTTTGAAACACAGAAAATATTTTAACGACGACGACGACAATTTTTACATAAATCAACCATCTTTGTACTCCAAAGGCACTCAGCCTTCATATTTTCACCAAGAAATAAATCATTTTGATTACTTTAAATAAAATTTTGTTTATTTTGTAAGAATTCTTATAAATAAATAGTAGTCTGTGTAAGTATTTTTTATGAATAAAGAACTAATAAATTCTATTTTTTTACATTCTAAAGTCTAAACTTTGCGTTCTATAAATTCTACTACAGGAAACTCTAGAACTAGGTAAGTATTTATCGAGTAATTATAACGTCTGATCGATTTGCCCAGCCCCAAGGCTAAGTTTCTGTGATTCGATACAAATGGTGACTGTAAATAAACTACTTAATGCGGGGACTAACTAAAGTAAATTAGGATGTCTGAAACAAGCAAGTCCGGGGCGAATCTGTTCGAAGTTCAAAAGTCTCTGTGCGACAGTAGAATACTAAATGAATTCATTTGCCTTTTCTTTTCACTAGTTACTCAAGCTTTGAGTTAATATTATAAGACAAGTTATTTTATTATTATAGGTTAGGATATTTGGTTTCGTACTTAGCTTTTGTCAAGTAGTTGCGTTCGTCATTTCACCCTTTTTAACGTCCCACTGCTGGTTACTAAACTCCCGCCGATGCTAGCGGGAATAGACCTCAGTATCATTACACAGCATTATTTAAGTTCTCTCAGACAACCCGGCGGGCCTTTTATAAATCTTAAAATAATTACTTTACTTCACTATTTTAACAAGTTTTAAAAATGAGACTCATACATAATATTCTTAGAGATGCAAGACTCATGATTTGAACCTGCTTCATTCTGTTTCTAATACGAGTATGCGCCTAAATGGCTTCCACTGCTATTATAAACATCGCACGAGTAAATACGCGTATGTATTATAATAGACTCATTTTTATTTAAAAATATCATTTGAAAAATAAATTTAAATTAAAAAAATTGCAAAATTTACATTTTAATCAACTTAATATTTATAATAATAAAATAAATAACTAAATATTAATAATAAATACTTAACATTCACTGTCCCAGTAAAATAAGTATATAAAAATTTTGAACCACATTATCAATCATAAAACAGTACTGAAAATAGAAAGAGCAAAGTGATTTCCGAACGAGTTGGTCCAATCAGACAAGCTATAAAAGCAATGGTATACACAAGACGTATACGAGTAGGTACGTAGTTATATTGAGACGGGCTTACAAATAGGGCCGAAATTTATTTGGCTCGGTATCGGAAGAGCGTTTCCAATTTTCATATTTTCCGCGATGGGACGCCGCGCTTCCTATCTAGACCCTAAATCTCTCCACGATATTTTTATGATATGTAATTGATTGCAGTACTTGACTTATATAGATATCGGATTTGTTATAATCATACTCTATTTTATGAAGGTATAGCATGAATATTTCTGTGGTCTTGTAAGTTATTTTACCTCATGCAGTAAAAGAAAAGATCGGATCTAGGGAAATTTAATCAGTAAGATAATACAACAAAAAAGAAAGATACTAAGCTGAATTTCTTAAGTTGCTTGCTCAATGTCGACTATGGTAAGTGTTCTCCAAAGCGAAGATTGCGGAGAACTTTATGCCAACTAGGCACAAAACAAAGACGATAGAAAAAAGAATTCAATTCCATTGAGGATTCTGTAGCACCCTAAAGCAATGTCAGCCTTATGATGCATCCAATGGAGCACAATTTTTGTTTTGCTTTAACTAGGTTCGCTCGGAAGGCATTGTCGAGAATTATATTAGCATTTATACTGTCGTTCGACCCGCAAGGCACAATCTACACCTTACAAACTTGAATAAGAAATACAGTAATAACAGAAAGAAAGTCACCGCGATACTTTCTCAAAACTTTCCTTCTGCAAGTCTTCAAACGATGATATCAAGTCGAAACAATTTTCGTAACAACGGAACCAGTTTCAAGTTATGTAGACGTTTTATGAAACGAGAAGAATAAAAAGAAAATAAAAACCATTACCTACGCCATTATGCTTAATGTTATGGTTAATAAAGTTTAAAATAAGGATATCGTTATTTTGTCTTTTGAGATATCTGAAGTGTGATTATATTTTACTTTAATGATTATTTTAACTTATATCGAAATTGAAAATATACATAGATGGTAAGGATATTAGATTAATTGCGCACATAATTCGTAGATCCATGCATGCGAAGTTCCGGGACGTATGGAGCACGGCCGAGCGGCTACGGAACTCGCTCCCATTAATGAATTCGCTCTCGAATCAAATCCTCTAACAAATTAGGATTAGATGAGGGACCTACTGTGTTTTTAGGTCGAATCGTAAATGTTATTTCAATGGAAATCCCTATTTCGTGCTTATTTCTGGAGTAACTAAGCAAATTTAGTAAATCTGATCTTTTACCTATGGATATTTTAATTACCTTTAAATATATTATATACCTTTAAATATATTATATAAATTATAAAAATGCATGCAACGAAACAGAGCCTAGTTCTTAAAATATAATCGATTGTAGAAAAGTAGTGTTAAATGGGTATTCCTAGACTATCTCAAACCAATATCTGCACCGGTATTCTGCTCGGGACATTCCATTTATCGCTTAATGCATTTGAAAAGCGCCTGCTTATAGTGATTGCAGTAAATATTTTTGTGGTAAACCTAAATAACATCTAATAAAATAACTTATATAATAATAAAATAATTATTTTAATTTTAAACTACTGTTCAAACATTTCAATAAATAAATAGTGAGACTGAAGTAGGGTAAGATATCTATCTCTCTATACAGAACTATACAGATCTGGACCACGTATGAAACTAAATGTTATTTATGTTTCCACTTACTTAGAACAAGAGCAAAAGAAAAAGAAAATATAAAGGTCTGACAACAAGATAATATTATTACTCGGTTGGATCATTGACGTGTACTCCCACCGGAGAAAGACAACAACCGACAAGTTAAATACTTTTATTTTCATAAAATAATGTAAACGGTTCCTTAAAAAAAGTAGATTAAATTTATCATTAGTTGTTTTTCCACCCTTAGGGGTGGTATTTTTTTTTTGAAATTTAAATGGGACCAATCTGGAAGCATACCCTTTCAAACAAAACAAAAATTTTATTTAATAATGTCAAACATTCGCATAAATCTAAGAAAGTATTATAAAACAAAAATTGTCCAAATCGGTTAATTAATGACGGAGTTCTGAGGTAACAAACATAAAAAAAAACATACAGTCGAATTGAGAACCTCCTCCTTTTTGAAGTCGCTGGAAAGTGAAGTTTTATTTGATTACTAGCATTAGCTTGCTCGCGGCTCCGCACGCGTTCAGATGACCAAAAACCAAATTCTTAGGTTTCACATATTAGTATACTGTTACAATGCAGTTTTTGTATTTTTTTTCAGAAATTAGATATTTTCCAACGGTAAAAAGTATCCTATATGTTGACCCGGCTAACCAGCTATCACCATACCAAATTTCATCAAAATCCCTCCTGTGGTTTTTCTGTGATCCGGTAACAGGCAGACAGACAGACAAAAATTCTAAAAACTATAGATTCGGCCTCTGCATCGATAATAATGACTATTTCAATAAGATTTTCCAAAAAATATTGAATGTACAGATTCGACTTAGTTTGAATTTTATTATAATATGTATAGATTACGAACGTCCATGCAAATCTACTTTTTACATATATATTGTACTTATGTGGTCGTAGCTGTAATAAGTAGGGTCTATTCTTGTATATATTTAATTATGGTATAATATATAGTCTTTATTAAAACATAGTACTTTAGATATATTTTTTTATTAAAAAACCACCAAAATATTTTACACCATACCATTGACGAATTAAGAATTTAGTACTTATTTAAAAAGAAATATTTTTAGAAATATAAGAGGGAGAACACACGATGGTATTTATGTTTATTCTTATTTTGTTACATTAACGTACAATCCGCAAGAGACATCCGCGCCGTCGCCCACAATTTTCCTGAAAACGAAAGTTGCCTTCGGAATACGAAGCGACGAGATGAAACGTCGAATCGGAAAAACTGCTTATTTTATTACTGCGAGGATGGGATAGGCTTCGGGCGGAATTGCCACAACTCCAATTAGAGCCGCACTGGAACACTTCCCATTACACGCGTCTGTAGCATTTGGAATTTTTAATGTAAACACGTACTTATGTTTGGAAAGTGTTTAAAATATTACATTTTCTTATTATTACTTCAGATGTAACCCGTTTGCGTTTAGGTAGATCCTCTTTAAAATCTTACGATTTTATGCCATACTTCTAAAATGTACTTTAATTGTGCTTTAAATTATAATTTACTTTTCAAATCAAATAAAAAAAAGAAGTAAGATAATAATAGTATGATAAAATATATGTATGGATATTAAGTGGCAACATAAAATTCTCAACGCTGTTTTATTTAATCTAGACGATAAATAAAATTGAAGTGTATACAGCTAATAAATAACAGCTTTTTACCAAATGCATTTGGAATTTTATACAGTATTTATAAGAAAAACACAATTTTTTAAATTTTTGTCTTCCAGTGACAGTCCCGTCAAAATCAGTCCAGCCGTTTCAGGGATTTTCCGGAACAAACAGACAGACAGATAGACAGACAAAAATTTAAAAAATTGTGTATTTCTTATAAGTACCGTATATAATTTCATATGCATTTAGTTTAAAGCTGTTATTTTGACATTACAATACTTTTTAATTTAATTTATCTGATAGATTGTAAACATCATAAAGCAAGACGAATGAAGTAACTAAATTACTCATACAATTTTCTATGAGCATGTTCAAATGCATCGAATAGTCGATACTTTTTCAAATAAAAGTATAACCCTTAAGGAGTTTCAGTAAAGGCTAAGTCATGTACGATCTGCCGCAGTGTCGTCCACCCCGAGGGCAACGTCACAATACTGATAGGATTACATGAGTATCTGTTTGATTTTAAAGGTTTATTTTCTCACATATTTTTCTTTTTTCCCAATTGCAGACTTTTGATTATTTTCCATATTTTTTATAAAAGTTTTTAAAATTACGGAACTGTAATTAAATATTCAATTACCTTAAGTTTTACTTTACGGCAAGTGTCGAGCATCTGGAAGTTTTAGGAACTTGCAACAACTTCATAAATACAAGCCGACACCTGTTGTTTTTAATATAACAAATTAAGATGTTGCTGTAGTCTAGACAACACGTGTAACATGCGCCATGAATTTACAAGATTTATATTAGCTATAAGTAAAACAAGAATAATTTCTAAAACATACTTTACAATAGAATCTTGATAGAATAAGAACATTGATAATCTAAAAGGACAAAATTTCCTTTATTTAATCGTCAAAAAACAAGCTACCTCTAATAAAAATAAAAGTATATAAGCTAATAGTCATCTAACGTATTTTTATGTAGAGTTCTTATTAAGACATTTTGGACTATATGTACTATATCTACGATTCTTAGTATGAACAATATTTTGCTATAAAAAAATTAGTCCTCAAAATCAATGTATTTCTTAATCGAGTAATATTTTAAAAGCCCTTAATTTCTATATAAAAGGCAAAAGTGATTGACTGATGTATCAACGCACAGGCCAAACCCTTAAGGCTAGAAAATTAAAGTTTCGCACACGTATTCCTCATATGACGAAGGCATCCACTAAGGAAGGTTTTTTCAAAATTCAACCTCCAAGGGGTGAAATACGGGATAAAAGTTTGTATGAAACTTTTTATTACTTGGACACATTTGCATGAAATTTCGTATGACTTGAGTACGGCAAAAATAATGAGTTACGTATTTCAGCGTTTTCCAAAATTCAACCCCTAAGAGGGTAAAATAGGGGATGAAAGTTTATATGATACCTACCTTTTTAGAGATTTTATTTGTAGTTATAGCGCGAGCGAAGCCGCTGCTTCTGCTAGTTATAACATATATATGAGAGTTCAGTGACAGCAAAAATTAATTTTTCTGTCTGCAATTTCTTTCCTAAATTGTTGCTAAAGCTAGTGATATCCCTCAAACCAAACCAAACCAAACCAAACAGTTCAAATTAAATTACAAATCCATCAAGTCATAGAATCAGGCTTTTTTGAAGTAAATTTTGTTCTTAAGAAATAAAATTGTCCACTATTAAAAATTCTGATCAAAATAAAACTATATGGGACATATTAATATATACTTACCTATATAATATGCTTGTAACCCAGAATTCTTATATTTATATAAAACTAGCAGACTTTTTTTTTTTTTTTAACGTTGGGAAATGCATTTACGCACGACGTGTGGGACTCACCGGCGTAATACAGCCAGTACTACCCACTAAAACCCAACAAAACCTTCCCCCGTCTTAATGGGGCGTCGCAGGATCGCTTACGCATTCAACTACGACGCCCCGACGGCAGGTCTGCCGAAGCAGACCACCACAACCATGGGGTTGCTCCAAGGTCCACTCTGCTATCAGAGAAGTACCAGGAGCAACCCGCAAGGTACACCGCCCCCCGAAGAGGGCCACCTCCCACCGCCCACCGAAGTGGGCAACCTCCCTGTGCGTTTCTTAGCTTCGCTACTACTACTGAGCCTCCCCACCACGACAAGGTGAACGCACGTTGGGGGGGAAAACTAGCAGACCTGGCCACGCGTGTGTGGCACACATATGGAAGTCTTTGCAATAAAAAAAGAAAATAATCGGAATAAAAAAACTATCCTATCTTTTAAGTTGGAACGGATCACACATTTTGAAAAAAATACGTTAAAATCGGATAAGTAGTTTCGGTGTTTATGCCGGACAAACATCGTGACACGGGAATTTTATACGTTATGATAATGCTTATTATTTAAATTGTACATCAAATGATCAAACAAATATTCGATAAAATGATATGGCTTTACGAGAAAACAAACTCAAGTTCGCGATCCAGTTGAATATGCATGTAACAGATGTTTCGCACCGCACATAAATTAATATAGAATAAGCAATATATTTCTTAAATAAGCTTTTTCTGTATTAATGTATACATAAATGATAAAATTGTAGCTAAGCCGAATCTGTACATTAAATATTTTTTGGGAAATCTTATTGAAATAGACATTATTATCGATACAGAGGCCGAATCTATAGTTTTTAGAATTTTTGTTTGTCTGTCTGTTACCGCATCACGGAAAAACCACAGGAGAGATTTTTATGAAATTTGGTATGATGATAGCTGGTTATCCGGGTTATACATAGGATACTTTTTACCGCAGGAATTTCTGAGAAAAAGTACAAATACTGCAATGTAAGAGTATACTAATATGTAAAACTTAAGAATTTGGTTTTTGGTCATCTGAACGCGGGTAGAGCCGCGGGCAATGTATTATTAATATAAAATGAAGACACTGCTATTTCCATACCATATTATATATTTATGTGTGCTGGAATAAATTAGTTTTTGCAATAAACGGCAGCTGCAATCTTCATATATTAACAATATCTAAGTAAATTATAGCTTAATTGTGAATTATTGATAAAAACGCAATTTCCATGCACCGGCAGTTACTGCCGGCCGGCGCGGAGTGTTTCAAAGTTTGCTCTACGCGTTGGAGGTATAGTGTGAAATTTGAATTTTTCCGCTGTTACTCCGCTGTTACCTGCTATTATAAATCAAGTGCAAAGTCGACTTAAGCTCTCCCGAAGCGTGTTCTCAAACATTTTAAAATTCAAATTATAGGTCCCTATGACTTATGAACGAACACAATATTATGGAGATTACATACTTTGAACTCGGGGATGAATACGTTTGAAGTACCTAATAAACGTTGTAGTATAAAGAGATATTATAGATTTAATCGTCTTTTATATTCAGTTGTTAAATAAGTACCTAGTAACCACCCATTTCCAGGGAAGAAGAAATAATAAATAAATATTTGATAAAAATTGTAATGATGAAACAAAAACAAAAAATAAAACGAACATCTTATCTATTCGAGCATTCACCCAGATAGAACGATATGTTTACAATACATTATATGATTATATTGCATAGAGGTATGCAAATACAGTGCTTTATTAATACACGTATCGACGCGTAACTAAGTAGCAAGGGGGCTAAACGCCGTACATCAAGATACTAACTTAAATCACGAGTATAATATACTATTTAATATGTGTGACTTAAAATTCCATCTTCCCTAAGAAATGAAAAGGATTTTTTAGCATATTACCAACGTTTTTCTTATTCAATAATTAATTATCCCGTTGCAACTTGTATCTATATATTCTAGGTACTTCTTAAATATTGGCTCAAAAGGAAACAACAGAATGATGGCGTAGTAAATCAAACATTATTACAAGCACTTTTGAATCGTCAATTTATTTCAGTGTAGTCAATCCGTGACGAAGCTACAATTGGTTTGGAAAGCAGTTCTGCTGAGAAGAAGTATGTTGGGTGGAATATCTGAAGCTACTGATCTGATTCTAAAAAAAATCTACTAATAGAAAGATATTATAGCGCCAAGTACTATGGACTATTTTTTATTCCGATAAAAATAACTTTAATTAAAGTCGAAAAAAAAATTCCGATGAGCTGCTTTATGGGTAATGGTTACGCACCCAGGAACGCACTCGAGCGAAGGTAGAGTTAGCCTAGGTAGCTCAGAATAAAGAATTATATTGAAGGAGTCCACCAAAAAAATGACAAAATCAAAAATAGTAGCGTGATTTTGCTGTTCATGCTACGATTCTCGATTTTGCTATAAAAATCGTTTACTTTCTTTTAAAAAGAAGCGACGTTTTATATACATTTAAAATTTTAAGAAGAAAATATTAATAATAATAAAAAGTAAAAATAATGCTAAAATGTATCGTATTTTAGAGAGATAGCATAAAATTAGCTTAATTTATTATAATAAAATCCGTTAGCTTTTTTTATTTATTAACATTTACTTATCACAAGAATGAGTATTCTAGTAATATTTATATACTGTTTTAAAACATTACCTATATATTATTTTAAACCATTATTATTTGGCATTTTGTTTAGTTCTATAAAACTCTGTTTATATTATTCCTTAGACTGACATCGCTAGTTATGTATCTATATGTACTAATATTATAAAGAGACAGAGTTTGTTTGATGGAACGCGCTAATCTCAAGAACTACTAATCCCAATTTAAAAAATTGTGTTTGCATTAGATAGCCCGTTTATTGAGGAAGGCCATAGGCTATAGCCTATATATCATAATATAATATTTAGTCTATCTATTCCATACTAACCGTTAAAACGTACCTAGCTAGGGACGAACCCGAACGTAGCAAGGGTGTCGCTAGTACATTATATGACATATCATACCTTGGATTATATAAATAAAAATCACACCAAGTGGTACGCTTGTACATAATATTTTTTTACGATTGCACTAAAACGTAAAGAATACATACATGTCTTTTACGGGAACGCTTTTTAATGTTTACTTTTTGTTTTTATTTTTATATCCTAGCATATGAAGCAAACATTCAAAATATGATAGCATATACGCATATCTACAGTCCTTCCGTAAATATGGACAGACATTGTAGACATTTTGATACAATAAGAACTATTTAGAAGGTACGAACCTAAAAAGTAAAAACCGATACAAATAGCTTCTTATACAATTTGTTCTTCAAAACAGTTATACATATACAGATATATGATAGATATATATTACAGAGCTCAGTAATACAGCACCATCTACTTTAACCTAAACGGAATTAAAACCATGTAACATGCCATCTGTGATTCAGTAATCGTATTAATTAAACAGATACTTGCCATTGCTATGCTCTAACATAAACGTTGTTTGATATTTATCACAAGATGGCGCACTAACACTTGGTGGTATATAGCGCTACGCGTCACTAGATGGCGGCTTTTGTAGAGTTCAGAAGAATTTATTGAAGAGTAAGAGTTTTAAGAATTCATTATTATTTTTTATTTTCTGGTTCTTTTATTCTACGCCTTATATAATATACCAAAATACGATATAACCACGATTATAAACACAAAATATAACTTTTAAAATGTTTTTGACCATGATGTCTTACTATATTCACGTTATCGATGCTTTACGTTCCTTATATTTTTTCTGGCAAATGGCATACCTTTATGCCATAGAACAAAGAACAGACAATTTTATTTTTTTATAAGAAAAATATTAAATACTACTTAAATGAGTTTCAAGTTAGTATTAGGTATGATAGTTTAATTTATATATTCTTATAATCAGAAATCGGAAATCACAAAGTATTCGTACAATAGACTAAATTATGCAAAAATAAATAAATTTGTCTCAATATAAAAATACGAAGTTATTTTCATCAATAAAGTTTCTATATTGATCTCTACATGGACGGCTGTATGTTGCAATTAATATAGAGGAACGGTTTATGGGTTACAGTTATTTATGCATCGCCTACATTTATATCGGTTCCAAGAATTAAACCTAGGTTAAAATCCATAAATCGAAGGAAGTTTACGTTAATTAGGGATACGAAATGTCAAAATATCATAAATTAAAGCTTACTTTACAGAAATTAAAAACAAATTTATTACAAAGTTATCATTAAGCTGTACATAGAAATTTATTTGAATGTTTATGATTGAAGCAATACATATAATTTTTTAAAAGGACTTAATTTTTTAGGAAGAGAGAAATTTGTTGTTTACTTGGTTATATATAAGTTCTATGGTATTGTGATTGCGCAGTAGCGCAAGTTGGCGTCACAGTCAACCCTCTCGCTACCTCGAGCGCGCGCCCATCCACCACTAAACGTGTACAAAAACTGTGTTTATTTTTGTCATCTATTAAGGTGCAATCAAAGAAAACATAACAAGGTAATTAGAGCTCTTAAATTATTAGCACTTCAGGTATTACTTTCACAATTAAGCAGTTCATTTCCCTCTCTACAAGGAGGCCCTACAAATTGATTCTTCTGATTGATACTGTTGTATTATCTGCCTTTATATAAAATTAAGATAATTAACCTGACCCACTGACCTATCTAATTAGAATAATATAAGACATGTTATCAGATAATGCTAATTGAATAGCGCTCTTACGTAACGAGGGGTTGTCCGCACTGCGTAACCTTATCGGAGCTTTCGCACTCTGAAGGATTGAGGTCGCTAACCTGTAGAGTTCGGTCGATGGTGTACGTGGCCTGATTTTTAATAGAATAACATTACCTTTTGTTTCTTGAACGGTAAACATAAATTGTTGTAAATTATTGAATGCCATGAGTATGGTCATATGACGGTTGTTTGCCTTTAATCGCCATAACATAATAAACTGTAATATATTATTACAAAGAAAGGTATATTATTTCACTTAGTAATCAAGGTCACAAAAATTTTCTTCGGTTAGTACATCTGCTATAAAAACTGACAAAATTCTAAGCTTGCACCGTATCCCGCGGGAACCCTTTCCTCTTTCTAACGTAATCAGTAACTTATGTCACGTTACTGATGATGTCAAAAAGGGGAAATGGTGGAATTCTATATCCTTTATAAATCCTCCACGACCGCGGACACGCCGGCGTGTCAGTTAACAATAGATTTCTTAGAATTTTAATTAATTTCTTAGAAATTTACCTGGAAGGTGTTAAAAGTAATTAATTAGCTTAGACTGCAACAGGGTCTCGCGGTAAACGAATTCAATGTATAAACAGAAAAGTGCATAAAGAAAATTCAACTATTATTGTATTAAATACACAATTTTATAGCTATAAAATATGATACGGTTTCTATTTAAAATATAAATAAACTTTTAAGTTGCATGTATGTTGTAGAGTTCTACTCGAATTTTCTACGTTCTTGCTATTTTTGCAAAAAAAATAATTATCAATCATATGCACTAAGCTAAGTCTTAATTTAAGCTCATCTAATACTCTACATATATTATTACCCTCCACAGATGCATTTTCATTGCATATAGTAAACTGTATATATACCGTATAGCTTCTGAGAAACATTCACTATTAAAGATGAACTTTTAAAAATAATAGCAATGCCTAAATGTCTTAAGCGTGCTGTAGCAGTCGTTGTAGTATCAAAGCTGTGGCCGCGCGCGGACGTTGTGTGCACACTTTCCAAGAACTTGGCATAAACATTCAAAAATCATTTACTTATCTAAAGGTAAATATTCGTCACCTAGAGCTTTTCAGCTTTAAGTGAAAGGTAAGCGATTTTTCACACACAATGATTGTTACTTACCTTACATTTTACAAAATTATAAAAATATTTGTGCATTACCTGAAATTATTACTACTAATAAAATATATATTTATATACCTATATAATCTTTATTTATTATTTAAATTACAAATATCGATACTAATATTATAAATGTGAAAGTGTGTTTGTTTGTTTGTCCCTCTTCACGTCGAAACGGAGTGACGGTTTGGCGTATTTTGTGTGGATAGTTGGAGGGCTGGAGAGTGACATAGGCTACTTTTACCACGGGAGATTATCTAACTCCTACGGGAAAACACGTTTTAAGTATTATAAAAAAATATTTATGATCAGAATTACCTACTTGAAATTTAGTATTAATGATCTTCAATAAAATTAAATAAATACGTGTTTTAGCATTTTTCGAAATTCATTCTATAAGGGGGTAAAATTGGGGATGAAAATTTGTATGAAACTAGCTTTTAAGATACTTTTTATAGTTTTAGCGCGAGCGAAGCCGCGGGTTCTGCTAGTATTATATAATTATAATCATGTTAAAGCTTACGTTAAACATAATGCTCATAATGCACTGTTTAAGCTCTATTGTCGCTCTTTATCTATTTACTAACTACTAAGTAACCCGTGACCGATTTTTGTCTTTTATATATAATTTTTTTATACTAAAACAATTTAAAAAAAAATAATACACTTACAAACAATGCATGACCTTCTTTTAGTTTTATACAAAGACGATTCTACGTACAATGTACACATGTAGAAACGCGAATCCCATTTTCCCTCATATCACGTGCATCTTGTACGTTACTAATCTAACTGGGTCATAAAATATTATCCGCCCACCTTTAGGTAATTGACCTACTTACATAATAGTTAGTGCCATAACTATAGAGTTTTTGTGTTTAATACATTACATGCATATTATGTAAATTATGATAATTTAATGAAAAATCATAATCATAAAGTGCCATATAGAGACATTTATAAACAACTAGCATTGCCCGCGGCGCCGCCCGCGTTCAGATGACCAAAAACGATGACGACGGACGGACGGACGGACGGACGGACGAACAGACAGACAGACAGACGAAAATTCTAAAAACTTTAAATTCGGCCTCTGTATCGATAATAATGTCTATTTCAATAAGATTTTCCAAAAAATATTTAATGTACAGATTCGACTTAGTTACAATTTTATTATAAATGTATAGATGTATAGATAAACGTTTTATGAAGAAATAAAAAGATAAAGACCTGTTTTCCTAATATTTTTTAACACCTTCACAATATTTGTCATGCACGTGTCGCAACATGAATAATAGTAAACCTTCTCGTAATCCTAAAACGTTGGTTTACGTAACAATATTTGCTCGTGGTTTGCTGGCAGTCTAATTAGTTACATGTGACGCGCTGGTGACACGGTAACCTCATAATATTCATTTATATGAAAATAGTCAAAACAAAACTGTTACGCGAACTACATTATATATTACACATTTATGTAGAGTATTAAATAATGAGTAAGCCTTTTATAAACCACTTAAAATTAATTAGAATTTTCCTAATATAACAAAATATATAGACGTTCCTGAAAATTTTCAGTAGCTACAACTTGATTTTAATGATACGTAAAACCGCCTTATATAACAAAACCAAATTCAGAGTCACCACTCTTCACCACGATATTTTATCTATATAAGTATTTATTATATGCATATCGCGCTTATGATCGTGTTATCCATACTTCCATACTTAATATTATAAATGTGAAAGTGTGTTTGTTTGTTTTTCTTTCACGCCGAAACGGCTTGGCGGATTGGCGTGATTTTTTTATGTGGAGATAGATGGAGGGCTGGAAAGTTACATAGGCTACCTTTTACCGCGGAAGATCATCTCTATACCACGGGAAAACACTTTATAATACAATCCAAAAAATTATTAATGATCAGAATTACTTGAAACTTGATATAAATACTCTTCAGTGCAATTAATTAAAGACATGTTTTAGGATTTTTCGAAATTCATCTCATAAGTGGGCCAAATAGCACATGATTTGTATGAAACCTACCATTTTAGTTTTTTTTTAAGTTTAGCGCGAGCGAAGCCGCGGATTATGCTAGTAGCAAATAAGTTATATAACACGATCATAAGCGTATTATATTTATACCATATTGTCGTAAATGTGGGCTATGGACAATAGGCAAAGGCATCTTATAAAAGTATTCTGTGGCGACTAATTCAGATATCAAAATGATTGGATAAACTAGGCCACGGCCGACGAGTATCGTGCACAATATGTTACCAATTGACAATGCATTACCATCGATTCATTTTTATTAATACAAATGCCAAAGGAGAGATGTTTTATTTATCCTTATAAAATAACGTCTAATAGAAACTAGGTCGATCTACTTAAAATCGATGAAGGCCACGATGAATCTAAATAAAACTGAAGCTCCATTATTCAAGGAAGAATAAATTCAAACGGTTGAACAAAGGCACTATACTGAATGCTAATGTACTTATTACTAGTTATTTTCTGATTCTCACTTCGAATAGTTGGGAGTTCTTTGGAACCATGTGAATTTGAAATATTTTCTATCTACGTACGTGAAGTCACAAATGATTACGGTTCTATGCACGTATAAAACGAATTCTAAATTTATACAAGTTTTAATACAACTAAACAACTTTCAGTGTAATGTGTATTGTTGCTCAGTGCGTCGTAAGCTAAACAGAAAAAATGGTGTAATTTAAGCTCTTTGCTTTGCTTTGGTGTTCTATTTCGTCGCACAATAGGCAAAACCAGCATAGTGTGTCATTTGCTTCCCGTCTTTAGAAAGACCATTCACCATAACATTATATTTATCTTAACATTAAAATAATAATTCTATTTAAATATTTCAGATGACATCTCCCGCTATTAGCAAGTCGCCTGAAAAGCAAAAATCTGATAACAAGTCACCTTCGCACTCATCTAATGCAGAGCAAGCCTCTAATGATGAACCCACAGCAACGACTTCAAATCCTCAACAATCGGACCCTTTCAGCTGGTTTCGGATATTTAAACTGGCCGACTTAATGATGAAACAAGGATGTTAAAAAATGTATATCATAGAGGTTTAAACCTTTAACAAATTATACGCTATCAGCAATAATGTAGAATTACTAGACAATTTTTGTTTAAAAATGTTATTATGTAGATCGTTTTATTCTTGTAAAATTTACATAAGTACCTACATAGGTCTTATTTAATTATATATGTACTTGATTTTAACGAAATAGAATCTTAAATTTATCATGTCAATAATACAAATTAGTGTACCTGACTCCTGAGACGATTACTTACAAGTTACACGATATGCAATATTTTCAACGTTTTATCTAAAATAATTTATGCAGATGAAAATAATAATTATCTATGCAGATAATAATATAATATATTAAAAATGTCGGACAATAATTTCCCAATTGTCCATTATTAAATAATACAATGAATACTTATGATATAATAATATTTAGTTATTTAAGTCATATATGGCGTTTCCACTCATTGAAAAAATATATCGTTTGAGTATTATAAAATTATATTACAATATTAACTTAAACTAAGATTATTTACATATATAATTGTTAAATTCTAATATTTGTTATTTATATACAAATGTATATTTTAATACATTTGAATATTATCACATTTGAGTCGACGCCATAAAGGTTTATTGTCTAATGTCTTTATTATTCTTTTGCTTTCTCATCTTTTATTCTTTCACATTTTATCTATTTTTCAATAAGTATACTATGCTAATTTTACTGTACGGAGATCTAGTCTTTAACTTTAGTTGTATATTTAGAAGTAGTTTGTTGAATCTAATAAGAAATAGTGTCACAAAATACAAAGTACATTGTTAAATCTATCAATCTTTAATAAATAGATTCATTGAATAAAAGTTTCCATTTCTCAACCCCATCCTGTTTACAAGACAATTTTTTTTTCTAGTTATACCTACCTTGGCTAACCCGTAAATGGTTTTTTCATTTAAATAGAAGCTACTACGTTGCGAGTTATAATGTTAGTTGAAGGGGGGAAATACAAATAAAACCACCTCTTATGTATTATTTTTTTAATAGTATTGGTAGGTAGGAGGTACATAACACGCAGGAGTCTGGGTTTTTGGATAAAGGGAAGTTAAGATACAATACTATTTCCAATATGTACAAAATATACAATTATCTCTAAGTCCTAGCAAATTAAACTTACAGTAGAAATATGATCACAATATTTTTTATATTCTTACATTTCACTATAGTAGTAATAATAATAAAAACCAAGAGGGCAGATGGCGCGTGCGGTGGCGGCCGCTGCTATATAACAGTCTAGTCTCACCTTCACTTTTGCTGCACACTTGAGATCAAATGTTAATTTTACATATATTTAAACTCTACAACTCGCACACACTACAGCGGCCGCGGCCGGCCCGCCCGCCACTCGCCACTTCACGCTCCGGCTTACACCACACCACACACCACAATACCTTTACTTACATTAATTACTTTCTTACTTTACATTTTCAAGTGTTAACTTACTGTCGAGAGTAATTCACAGAGTTAATACTTCATAATGAATTCCGCACCCTCCGGTGAGTGGAAGGTATCGGAACCATTGTAAAGATTAACTCCGCTGTCGAGTGCGAGGAGCTGTGTAACCACCCCGTATACAAAATGTGTCCAAAATGATTCGACGAAACGAAACTATATTATACTTCTCACAATAACGGTGATGCCTACGTGAGTCTGCTCCTTCAATACTTACAATAAATAACAAATAAAATAATCGCAATAAATGATCGATGACCTCTGTTTCGACTTTTGTGTACATTAAATATTAATAATTGACATTTCGACAGAAACTTATGATGCAATTACTTATTGGCAAAGGATTATCATTTATCGTAATATTAAATAGAAACTTTAACGTCATTGCCAAAAAATAATCACACCGCAGCAATAAATAAGGAATGAGTAAAAATACCGATTTGACCGTAATAAATATTTCTTTTTATAATTCTCATGTGTCGCCTATCTCATAAATTTATCTCAATATCAAGACTAAATACTGTATCGCTATGTTTACTGAGGACTTATTTACATCGATCCCCTTCATAAGGAGACCGAACGAGTGTACAATCGGGCATCCGTTACTAATAAAATTATGTTTTAAAATTAATGGACGAAGTGACAGTTCGTTAGTGTTCCACCTGGCTACGTCGAGAACCGTTTGCGACGGAAACATGACCAACACATATAACATTTATACACCTATACATTAATCCTTAAAAGAATATACGTTACCTGTGCTGTTACTTCTATATCGTACAAATATAAAATTACAATACATAAAATATTTTGTACTTTATTTCTAGTACGACAATACAGTCGCACCGCCATCTAACGGGTGACACTTTATAGTTCCGGTATCGCGGTGTCACGGGAGTACGCTAGCTTCGAACAGACTAATGTTAAAGGTTTATTTTAATTTGCGATTCACTTATACATATACGAAAGATCTTTACGATTACGCTACTTGCTAAGGGTAAGGAGTGGAAGATACCGGAAATATAACGTATACGATATTTGCATATCACCCTCGCCACACATCGCGTTACAATGACAAATCGAAAATTTAAGTAGAACTGTAGGTGAAACAATATGAAATGAAAACAATCGCTAAAGCTTAAGCTATATATTGAATGCAGACGGTGAAGGTTTATGAGAAGTACAATATCGTTAGTTCGTGCAATTATAGGGAAAAAGTTGTGGTCATCTTACAAAAATAATTATTTAGTTGACAAAAAAATGTTACAGAATCGCGGCAAGATATTTTATAGAGTAGAAGTTACAATGAGCAACACCATCATGTATAACTCTTACTCTAGAAATTATACTCTGGTTACTGTAGAGTTTTCGAGTTTTGATTTATTAATAGTATAAAATTAAACCCAATGTACCAATCACAAACATGTAATAACTTAAATGCCATTTGCTCTCATAATTGACAAAATCAACAAAAAATCAACTTTTTTATCAAAATGAAAATAAAATCATCTACAAAAAAAAACATAATCAATAGAAATATAGAAAAAAAAATAGTATCAAAGCCGAGTAGGTCTAGTGTAGCCAGAGTATATATTACAGCATGAGGCGGCGCGTGGAATGGGGAAACCGTCGAACGAAACAATGTAATGCGCAACGACGTCGGACGCGTCACTACAGCCTGAACTATGCAAAGTTGAGTTCATTCGCGTTAACAAAATAGTGAGTCATCGGTATCCACCGGCCTGGCCCCGCCCCGCGACCGATTAGATTGCATAAAATTATAGTCACCTTTTACAATGACCAGTTTAAGGCAGACTTAAAAATATTTTATAATAACTTTTTTTTTGATTTGAGATAATTATGTTCATTAGATATCTGAAATCAAAATAAAGTCATTATCATTATATGATGACTTTAATTTGATTTAAGATAATTAAGTTTATTAATTATCTCAAATCAAAATAAAGTCATTATCATCTCAAATCTGTTGCACTCACTATTTTCTTAACGCGAATGAACTATGGTGCATAACTGCATACAGCTATATATCAAGGCGCACTTACACCGACAGCAAGTGCTCTCGTGTAAATGCGCCCTCACATACAACGCTCCTCCAAGCGTCCCGGCTGGATGTGTAAGAATTCACGTGGATTATCCCGGTAGGTAGCGTGACAAGTCTGCATACTCCATATACATGTTATTTCCACTATTAATAGATTACAATACATGTACGAACTTTTCAAGCTACAATATTTAGGTTTAAAATCATACAGCTAGAGATATAACATAAATTTCTGTGTAAGTAAATGTTCGACCTGCGTGACATTTATTAAATATAAAATAAAAACTAAACAAAATAACTCTCCCGCTCTATATTCCACTTGAATGATTCATTAACTGTAAACACGAACGCGACGCCGCACGCGCCGTTGTCGACACACGCATTGCTCCGTATGTTTTATAAGTCTACTTATAAATCTACGTTAAAAGTCAGAATCACAGTTTATTTTCCGCATGTAATTTTGTCCTTTTCATACCATTCGTGTATCTCAATGTTTACAAAACAAAGTTCATTCGAACCAGTTACAGAGTTTTCCATTACCTACCGTAATGACCTAGTGAATAAATCGAATTTTAGTACGGATAGATTCGATATTTACAAGATTTAAATTACTTTAGATACTAGACTTAAAACAAAATAACAATTTACACTAACAATAAAAAATGCTCGATAGATCGCCGCTTATCTGATCGGAATCCCAAATTAAATATACTCTATCCTCTCTATCGATCGACTTCGCCCGTTTTTACAAATTTAAACTCCGAATAAGGCCGAGCCCGGTCGACCGTAACAAAAGTATTTTACAAAGCTAAGTCTTACATCTAACACTTAAATACGCGGCGCCAAGCCGTAACAATAAATACACTAACGTTACTCGACCGCACTACGAGCTGTCTGTGTGAGTCCTTCACTGCGTCCAGAGCGGGCGAGGCGCCGGCTCCTTCAGTGGCTACGATTACGGTTAAAATCAACTTTCACAACCTGGATATATTTACAGAATTTTATTAAAATGTTCGTGTACTCGTCGTCGTCGGTGGTCGTGGTCGTGGTCGTGCCGAGATCACCCGATGGCGGTGGCGATGACGATGAGCAGGTGCGCGATGTTGGCGACGCGGTGCATCAGGTCGGGCGCGATGCGGTTCAGGTTCTCGTTCGCGAAGTCGCACGATGGAAAGATGTGGACCGTGTACAGTGACTGTGGACAACGAAATGCTACATTTAGGAAACACTGTTCTTTGGTACGCGCGTCAATGAAGAACGGGGAGGTATGGTAATTGTTTCCTTAAAATGTTAAAAAGAAGAAATTAGGGAAAAACAGAGGGTTTTATGTACATTTATATAGCATTTTTGTATTTGTAAATAATAATAAATGCTACTTTTTGATTTAGTCATCACAAATATAAATATATGCGTGTGTATACCTGCTGGTGTCCCGGCGGCGCGACGTTGACGATGCCGGCGGCCTGCTTGCGCTGCAGGTAGGTGATGAAGCCGGCCGTGAGGTTGGTGGACTGCTGCAGCACGTCCATGTGGTCGCGCCCGCACGGCAGCGCCAGCAGCGTGCAGTGTTCGTTCTCCAACTGGGGACCGGGTGGGAATGCTTGTATTATTTACTTTTATTCTCTCCTTACTACAATAATTACATAAGTAATTATTCTAATATCAATAATCTACAATTGAAAAGGATTTTTTTATGTATTTTGTAAGACAACACAAATCTACAGTAGCTATAAAACATTAAAATAACAGTAAATATTTTTATAATATATACAATGTGCATACATACAAAATAACATTTAATTTCCCATCGTCGGTCTCACCTTCATCTTGCGATGCACCTGGTCGAGCTGCGCGGGCTCGAGGCGCATGCGCTGCGCGATGCGCAGCAGCGAGGCGGCGGTGCCGTCGGCGTTGCGCGCGAGCGCGTCGGCCGCCACGCCCGGGTTGCCGCCCACGAAGTGCATCTGCACCGCCGCCGAGTCGTTCTTGAGCGCCAGCAGCCCTTGCCACATTACCGGGTAGCGCTGGGTACACACATACACACATCAATAACATCCTATTTTGTAAGGTTCTATAAACTATGTACCATATCGGTTAAAATAGTTTATAATGTGTGTTAAATCGATTTCACAGACGTGTGTGTGTAACTTTACAAATACTGTATGCATGGACGAATTAGAGACTGGACCTGACATAAAATACAAATGTATGAAAACTAGTTCAACCAGGTGACGCATAACGCACACAAAGATTTTATTACATTATTATAAACACTGATACACAATACAATATTTCTAGTGCTTGAACGTAATCGATAAAATACATATATCGATGAACCAATTAATGACATTTTAGACATTGGTTAGCATAGTCATCATATTTTACATCTTATAATTTATTCTTCTTCTTTTAATTTTAATAAATTAAAATAAATGAATTAAAGAGGCAATAATAATGTGTCAAATAATAATTATTTTTTAATTTGATTTATATAAATACGATGGCATTGATGGCAACATTCTGTTGGCCTATAATAATGTTAATGAACAAATGAATATCGGGTATATATTCCATTAATATATAATAAATATTATTTTGTAAAGATTAAAAAAATATTAAGCTAATTTAATTAAATAAAGTGATTTGGTTGATTCTGTTATTGAACTATTTTAATTGGCAATTGATTGTCTCGGGTAGTTATAAAAATGTGACACTGTCCTAATATTGCTCAGTTCTTAATAAGCATTTGTGAAATTAGGAAAAAGAAAAAGTGATTGCAAATTAAAGTGAGTGTTGGGTCGTGAAAGTAAAATAATTAGTGCAAGTGGTAAAGTGTTTTATTACAAATCGCCAACCCAGAAGTTTAGTGCTAAAACATTATTGTTTGATTTTGTGTAATTTGTGTTGAAATAAAATGATCTTTATTATTATTACAATGGAATAATATTCCAAAGTATATAAATGTGGAATAAAATAAAAAATTAAGTACACATACTAATTATAATTTTTGCATTTATATTTTTATTTGATTTAGAAAATATTTTTATAAATTTATTGTCATCAGATTGTAGGATACTGTGGTAAAAGTATTTTATGTTATTGTACTGTACAAATAACACAATTCGTTTAGTAATTTCGTCAAATATCGATATATTTTTCGACATTGTCAAGCACTAGTCGATGTCAAATGGACTCACTCGACAGTTTCTGTTTAGAATCTTTTTATTTCTCATTAAGAATAACAAATTCACTTACATGAGAAAACACATTAAATATTATAACATTCACTAAATGCGAGTACGTACAAGTTACATTTGTGAGAAATACATAGTATGCGGGTAATCCTTAAAAATAATACTTAAAACTACAAACAAGTTAACAATACAGTTAGAGCAAAGCGCTAAGAATAAAGAAATCATGGAAATGGCAAAGACTACATTTTACTTTAAGTTTTTTAAGATATAATATTTTAGCGTTTTTTTAAATGTTGTAATTGTTTTTGATTCCTTTATATCTGTTGGTAATTTATTATATAACTGTGCTCCTTCAAACATAAGACTCCTTTTTCCGTAGTTAGTTCTCGGGGCGTATAAGACTAAGTTGTTGGCATTTCTTAGGAAATGCTTTTGAATTTGTTGTTTTTTAGTGAATTTTATGTTAGAATGTATATCTCCGCTCAGCACTTTTCTTATTAGCATACATGTATTATAGGTATATGTTTGCGTCACGCTCAATATATTCGTTTCTTTATAGATTTTCTCTGATGATGTTAAGAAATCATATTGAAATAAAATTTTAATGAGTTTATTTTGTGCAACTTGAATGGGTTTTATATTAGATTTAGCGGCTGAACCCCAGACTTCGATAAGGTAATCAATATGAGGTTTCGCTAATGTATTGTATATTATATATTTGACTTGTTTCGGAAGACATCTAACAAAATTTCTGACGGATCCCATGAGAGATAATAACTTTCCACGTAACTTTTCTAGATGTGGCTTCCATGTGAGATGACTATCAAGGGTTAGGCCAAGATATTTTTCACTTTTAACTTTATTAATTATTTCGTTATTTATTGTAAGAGGTTGGTAATTATTAATTCTTTTATTTTTGGCCGAAAATATTATATAGTTAGTTTTTTTTGTATTTATTGTTAATAAATTATATTGAAACCATTCATTGAGTATATTAAGGTCATTCTGTGCTTTATCTATAATAGTATCAATAGAATTACCAAAGTAAAATAAACAGGTATCATCAGCGTAGAGGGTAATATCTCCATATAAACCGATTTCTTGTATATTATTTATATAAATAAGAAACAAAAGAGGTCCCAAAACCGATCCCTGTGGGACTCCACATGTAATTAAAGAAGGTCTACTCTGATTCTCCTTTATTTTAACTATTTGATATCGATTTTCAAGATATGATTTAAGCATTTTATGGGCATTACCAGTGATACCTATGCTCATCAATTTCATCAGAAGTATTTCATGATTAACTGTATCAAAGGCTTTTTTTAAATCTATGAAAATACCTAGAGCAATTAATTTTTTGTCAATGTTTATTTTAATTTTTGTTATCAGGTCGATTGTAGCTGACAGTGTGCTAGATTTTGGTCGAAAACCATATTGTTTGTCGTATAAAATTTTTGTGGCACCAAGATAAGATTCGAGACGATTGTATATCACCTTTTCAAATACTTTAGATAATACGGGTAAAACTGATATAGGACGATAGTTTCCAGGATCAGTTTTGGAGCCAGATTTGAATATGGGGGCAACTTTAGCTATTTTTAAGCTATCTGGGAAGGTACCTTTTTCAAGGCACTGATTAATGCATTTAGTTAGATTACTTAGAATAAGAGGTTTAATGAATTTTATTACCCTCGTACTTACCTCGTCAAAGCCTGTCGATGTATTAGAATTTAGGTTATTAATAATTTTTTCAATTTCTTCAGGAGTAGCTGGAGTAAATTCACAAAGATTATGGCATGTATTATGTCCTTTTGGTAGAGTGTAAATTGTATTATTATGATATTTTTGGGGAATGTTATGAGCTAGTAATTTGCCAATGTTAGAAAAGAAGTCATTAAAGTGTTCGCAAATTAGCTGTTGATCTGAGATTATATTAAATGGTGTAACAATGTTTGAAGGAACAGAGTCTTCCTTAATTTTATTATTACATAAGCTACTAATTAAGTTCCACATTTTTAACGGTTTCATTCTTGCATAATTGAAAGATTTTAAATAATACTGACTTTTTGCTCTTTGGATACTTTCCATAACGTTGATTCTTTCAATTTTAAATTCTTTTTCTATGTTTTCATCTTTTGGGTTATTCTTATAATGTTGCCATAGGAGATTCCTTTTATCTATACTGTCTATTATATTTTTATTGATCCAATCACTTCTAGGTGGATTTAGAAACTTTACTTTCTGGATCTTATTTTCTTTGATGCAAGTGATAAGTCTTGATTCTAATTCTGTAAATTCTAATATTTCATGTGTATTATATATTTCTACGGCTTTATAAATGTTTTCATAATTCAATGCACTATATTGTATTTTCTTCAGTATATTAGGCTTATATTTTTCTATTTCCATATAAATTTGTTTATGATCGGACATAGCCGAGTCAATAATAGCCAGGTGAAAACAGTGTTCTTGTAGATTTGTGCAGGCATGGTCTAATATGCTTCTTGTTTCTGGAGTAACACGAGTAGAATAGTTTGAGTCAATTTTATTTAGCGCTACAAGACCATATTCTTCAAGTGCATCTATATATTCCTTACTCGGTTTATCAGGGCAGAGAAGGTCAAAGTTAAAATCTCCCATAATTACAGCTCGTTTTTTATTAGACAATTGAGTAGAGTAAATTTCGAGAAAATCTGCAACATTCTTTCGGTTATTTTTGTAGATAGCTCCAATATCCAGACAATATTTATTAATGTGTATCCACAAATAATGATTTTCTTGTATGCAATGGTGTTCTATTAGATTATGCTTTAGACTGTTGTGAATAAAAATGGACACTCCACCCCCTCTTGAAACTTCTCTGTAGTTATAATAATGTGTAAAACCTGGCAGAACTTGTTTTTTTGCTTGATCCTCTGATCTTATCCATGTTTCCGTAATAATAACAATATGTATCTGATATTTAAAAGACTGTAGAATGCATTGTAATTCATCTAACTTACCCTTTTTAACTATACTTTTAGCATTGGTGTAAAAGAACTTTAAAGATTTTTTAGAGGTAGTTATATCTGAATACTTTTTAGCTATTTCATAGGTCACTTTATTTCCCTTTAGCATTTTTGCCTCGCCTCTGGAGATAATGGATTGGACTTTTTTGGATGTTTCTGTACAATCTTAGGTACACCATTTTTATACTTTATGGTCAGATTTTGTTCGCCATTATTAATGCGCAGATCTAACTGATTCTTTACATTTTTAAAATAAGCCTGCTGTGCTGGTGTTAAATCAGAGGATATTTTTATGTCATTAAGTTGCACATTTCGTTTCAAACGTAATATAGATTTAACGGGATCGTGATTCTGAAAAATAGCTTTTATTGGGCGACATTTTTTAGCATCATATTTTCCCAGGCGATATATATTTACTGGTTCTGGTATATCTTTGGAAATCATTTTGACGATATTTATAACTTCACACTTATCAGAATCTTGTCTTTCACGGTGATATTTGAGAAGTGGTTCAGGTACACCTTTTAAAATAATATTGTTTTCGCGACTTTTGCGTTCACTTATCTCCGACATAATATGCTCACTGTCGTATGTTCTTTGTTGTGGTGAAGTTACTTGGAGTTGTTGTATTGTAGATTCAAGAGAAATAATCTTTTTATCTTGGTTTTCTGATGAATTTGTTAGGTCTGATAGTTTTGTTTTAATTGAGTATTGTTCTTGTACAAGGTTTTCAGTTGTAACTTGCATATTATTCATCTGATCTTTAATTGATAGTATGTCTTCCGACAGTTTTTTAATACTTTCATTTTGATTTTTCGTGAATTCTGTGAGAAAATTCATCATTTTATCTATTTTTTTATGCAAGATGTCTATTTCCCGCTTTATATCTGTATCTATTTCTGGTTGCTTTCTCTTCCGTGTAGTAATAAATGATTCTGCTGTGTTAGCTAAGTTATCTTCTACATATAATCCACGACTTGATAAATTTGTTAGGGAGCCACCTTGTCGCTGCCCGATGTCACTTCCATTAGGTGAACGTAGCATGTTCTATGATGCGTGCGAAACTATGATTAATAAATCACTAGCTGTTTGTAGTTATGAAAGACAAAAAATATGATCTTGTCTTTTTTACTCGAGGTGGAGCGGGGTGCACCGGATCGCTGCTGCACCGTACCCAGAAGACTTATGTGTCAAATAGCTATTCAGCAATAATTAACTCACTGTATAGATAATTTTAGTTTAAATTTGAATGTAGCACTTTTAGTATTTCTTAACAAAACCAACAAACACGTCTGCTTCGTACGCTCGCAGTTGCACACAAAAAAAGTTTAGTCATTTGTTCTGAATGGTATAATCCAGGGATTTTATGATGGTTGTCAGATGTCAACAATACATAGAAATATCGACTATATTTAACATAGTTGGATAATATGACATTTTATTTTACATTTAATTAAATTGTGTGATAAATAACAATAAATGTAATAAAATAATGTATTTACAAGTGAAAAGAAATACTGCTGCTTCCGCCGTTATAGTTTTTACATCATTTAACAGAACATTTAGTCATTTTTGGGAGATGTTTTGTTGACAAATAAGTGCTTGAGACTGACGCAAAAAACAAACGACCAAGCCTAAAATCTCCTGGTAACTGAGAAGACCGATAAAGGTACGTCCGCTTATATGTCTAGTCCAGTGGTTAATTCGTTCATGACTGTATGATAAGGATGTATATAGATTATAGACACATTGGAAATCAATATATTCGTCGTCAAGGTTCAACAAAAATTGGAGAACAAAATGCTAATATTATTATAAACGTGACAGTTTGTGAAGATGTATGGATGCTTATTTGTAATTCTTTCACCCAAAAACTACTCAACGACGTTTTGATAAAACTTAACAATGTTATTAGTAACTTTCTACGTCAAAATAATACATAAGATGTCATTTATAAAAATATAGTGATACATATTTGAACTACGCGGACAGAGTAGATTAGAGTATTACAGTTACAAATACACACGCAAAATAGGCGCATAGTCGTCGAGTTGCGGAAACCAGCCCGAACATACCATACCATACCATACAGTTACAAATATAAAGATGATAAATGAAAGTATAGCAGTTAGCAGTATATATACCCTGAGCAGCATCTGCAGCGAGTCGGCCTCGCGCGGCACCTGGCTGGCGTGCGGCGGGCCGGGCGCGCCGGGCGGCGGCAGCGCGGCGGCTGGCCGCGACGTGCCGTGCGCCGGCGGCGGCGAGCGCCCGCACCGCACCGCGTACACTGCACGCCACACGCGACACATGACACATCAATATACCGCTTATATCCCAAGTCACAAAAACTTTATACCTAGCTGTATTTGTGACTGATTCACGATGTGAATACCTCAACGGATAAGAGTAAAATTCGAAATAAAAACGACTCTAAATAACCTACTACTGAGATTAGCACATTTCACACACACTACGCAAACAGACACGTGGACAAAAACTGATAACCTTAAGTAACATATATTAAAACTTTTAGAATGCACTAAAAAGTAACAAATATTCCTTTGCTTTGTTTATGAACTTCTTATGAACTTCTCTTAGCAAATGCGAATTAGCATAGCTTTTCTAAAGCCGCAACAATAAAACTAGATTTAAAAATGAAAATTAAAAAATCTGTGATTAGACTGTCCACCTAGAGGCCTTCCAACTAACCACAAACAAATTAACTAGTTATAAATGTATAATATACAAATATTTGTGCAAATACTCACTTATGTGCCTGTCATGCGGCGAGGGCGAGTGCGCGGGGCGCGGCACGCGCGCGGACGGCGGCCGGCGCAACTCCAGCGGCGGCGTCGGCGCCTCCGAGCCCTCCGCCTCCAGCGCGCCTCTGAATACACATATCATTTTTAAAACAAATGGATTAAGTTTGGTTCAGTTTTTAGGAAAATGAAATTATATATATATATAAAAAAAAACCGACTGCGTACTACTAACTACTAAGTGAACAGATGAAAGCAAGTTAACAAAGGAATACAATACTATGCAGTCGCAGACATACATTCGTACACCCTACAGCAAAAATAAAACATACATACATATATGTCGGTATATAGTATATTATATATAGTATGGAATCGGACGGCATAATCTATGCAGTCGGGATTTTTTTTTTATACTTTTTTATTTACAGCTTTTTAGTTTTAGCCAAATATACATTTGAAGTTATTTTTAGCAATTTCTTATCCTAAATGAACATATAAGTTATATGTATATATATTAGTAATTGCCTCTAAAAAACCTGTATTTTGAAACCCCTCTATATTCGCACGAAAATTGTTTTTTCAAGACACATAAATTGGCGCCTAGGATCTGCCATTTTGATTTTTAATGATAACTAAATATCTTATGACACTCGCGTTATCAAGACGAATCTAATGACATATGAATCATAAAAATCAGTTGAGCCGTTTAGTAATTGCGAGGGAACATAAGGTAGGACATACATACAGGTCAAACACATAACCCTCCTTTGGGCTTCGCCGCAGTCGGGTAATACGTCAAACATGTGTATTGTAGATTTTATAAATTGCATAAAATCTTTTATTCTAACAAGCTAAGTAGTAATTTTAAATGTTATATAAATAAAAAAAGAAATGACCTTACCTTGTAGGAAAAGTAGTGAGGGTGGGCACATTTTCGTACTGAGTTGCACGAAAATGTTGTTGGTACATTTGATAGTGGTGTTGCGAAAAATGAGGATACATCCCTTCGCCCTGTTAACAGAATTTTATAGCTCAATATATAGGAATATATTTATAATAAATGAAATAATTATAAATTTAAATGTTATTACATTGTGATATACCGAGGTGATAGGAGAAGTCTGTTGATGAGCAGGCGGTGGACTTCTAACTAATTCTGCAGACTATCCCGGATAGCATGAACAGAATTACTCTAATTTATTTCTCTTATTCAGTAAGATATCATAGCATCAGCTGTTTGTCATTGGCTTAGGTAATACAAAGAACAATAAATTTAGATAAAAAAAGGGATTTGAACTACTCACCATAGACATTTGACCTTGAGGGCTGACAGAAGGTACACTTGTGATGGTGACTCGTGACCCTGAAATGAGACCAGGAATTAATATTTATCGTTTAATAATACGATAAATAAAATTGTTTATTTATTTTTATTTATTTAAACACTTTACTGCACACAAAAATAAAAATGATACATACAAAAAAAAATACATTTAAAAAAATGTGCAAAGGCGGCCTGGCCTATCACTAAAAGTGATCTCTTACAAGCAACTGCTAGAATTAGGATACAAAAGTTAACAGAAAGCGGAAAGGTGCATAAAGTGTACTAAATAAACATATTACATATAAACATACATAAAAAATACATAATATATATACTATTTATACAATAAATATTTATTGAAAATAGTTTACCAATAAAGGTTCACTTTTATTGATAAACTATTTTAAATAAATGCACATGTAAGCCCGCCTCGGTAGCATAGTGGCTACCATATACGGCTCCGAAGGCCTAAGAACCTAGGTTCGAACCCCGGGTTGGGTTATAGTTTTTTTGTTAAGAAATTCTCAGTAGCAACCCGAAGTTGAGAAGTTGGTGGTGCTTTGGTTAGATTGTTCAGCTGTACGTCCTGCGCCTAAGTCTCACCGGTCGTGTCGAAGTATCGTCTTAACAGACTTTGAGGGTGATAAGGAATAGAGTGCATCGTGCACATTAAACACTTTTGCGCTATACTATCTGCTACGCAGATGGCTAGTCTCAGTGAGTAGTAGTGAGTACGGTCAGGAGGACATTAACGTATACGCAAACGAACCAGGATGATGGTGTTGCGGGCCGACGACGGCGACCTGCTTGGCGAGCGGTGGGTGGTGCGCGCCGCGCGGCAGGCTGGCGGGCCCCGCGTAGGCGCCGCGGTAGCGCGACGCGCCAGCGGCGCCCGCCACACCGGCGCCGCCTTCGCCTTCGCCGCCCCTGATAAAACAAGAAAATATTTACCAAAATCATAGAAATTCACTATTCCTTATAAGTATATACTTACGTCAGACCAGAATAATAAATGATATGTATATGTTTTGATCTGACCTAGAATAACACATATCTACGTTTGTTGCTGTTAAACACCTAGAGATACACTCGAGCAAAGCGAAAGTAAGTCACTAGGTAAGATTATAAACATTAAAGATATCACAGGTACAAAAAAATAAAATATGAATGCATACCTAACAAGAATAGGTGTCGCGCGGTCTGGCGGATGATGAGCGGAGGGCGGACGATGCGGCAAGGCTGGAGACTGCACGCGCGCGTCCGTCGCTTCGGTCGCGCCGACCGGCATCATATTTGCAGGAACGTTGTCAACGATGCGACGGCCATAGCTAATGTCACCCGAGATGGAGTCTGGTACTACGGGGGTCGGATCAACAACTGGAGCTATGCGTTCTGGCTCTGGGGGTCTCTCGGGCGCGGGAGCTAGCCGGTCTCCGACGTTGGGGGAAACACCGCCCACTCTATTCGTGAGATTTGCAGCCGCTTCAAAAGCACTGGCTAATTTCGCACTGATTTCAGATATCATTTTCTTCGGCGGTTTCATTATAGGTGTTGGGTTATGTGGTGGTACCACGACGGAAGGTGGGGCCGCTGGTTTCATTTCAACGTCGGTTTTAACTGGCGCTATAGGTTCCGCCAATTTCGGGATCTTAGGTTCTTTAACGACATCCTCTCTCTTAGCATTTTCATCGCTACTACCTATTGAAGCATCAGACAAACTTCTATCCCTAGTTCTCTTTACACCTCTAGGAGATTTTCGCGTGTCGTTTTGCGATACTTTTTCTGCATTTGTTTTTGCTCCGGCTTGTCTGGTTGCCCTTTTCTTATTCGGTTCCACATTATTCTTATATTGCGCAGCTGAGCCCTTAATAACATCATCAATAACATCATCAACAGTGCTTCGCTGAATATCTTTCTCTTGAAGTCGCCTAGATTTTCGAGTATTTATAGTCGAAGGCGGTATATAACAAAAACGTACCTCGTCCCCGACTTTCGCCTTTTCTTTCTTCCCTTGATCTTTTGGTGTTATACTAAGTGTCGATGTCGCTATTGAGTTTGAATGTCCGGATAATGGACTCTTAATTGTTAAAATTAAACGAGGTCTTACTTCAGCTTTGTTAGGAGAAGTTACTGTTTCGTCACCAGAGTCTTCGTGAAAATCATAGACATCACCTGGCATATTATTTAAATTACTGCTCACGAAATCTTTAATTTTTTTGTCAACTTTCACTCTGCCTCTTCCTCGTTTTGAAGTTCCCCTAACAGGTTTTGATATTTGCCGTGTTTGCACTCTGTCTGCTTTTTCCGATCTCTTTCCTCGTCCACCATTACGACCACCTCTTTTGCCTCCAGATGCGGTTCTTTCTACAGTCAATTCTTCACTAACACTATTGTCATTAAATAATTCACTTTTATCTTCTGCTTGACTAGGAGATTCGTTATTACAAGCCTCAGATTTAACAGTTTTTTGCTCTTCAATAACGGTATCATTTTGCACATTTTGTTCTATATTGACACTATCTTTTTCATTTGGTTTAGTAACACTTATCTCAAATTCTTTTTTTTCGTCAGATGTTTCCTTACATAAAGAATCAACTTTTTTGATTACAGACTCAATGTTGACATCTTTGGCCGACCAGTAATCGTTTTCATCGATAGTTTTTATTTCATTACTGGTATTTTGATTTTGATTACATATAAATCCGAAAAATTGGTCCTTATTTTCTTTTAGTTCTAACTTCATCGAATGATCTTTATCATAAGGAGTTTGATTTGAGATTTGATCTGGAGTTTCTTGTGTTGTAGGTACATTTGCATCTTTCTTTTCTGATTGGTTAATATCTAAACCATTTTCTTTGATACTTTCCTGTTTATTTGTGTCTGATGTTGTAGACAAATCGTTGTCATTACTTTTCAATAACAAGTGTTCGTTTGGAGAATTTGACGTAACTACATCAGATTCATGTTTTTCAGTAATACCGAAATCTATATTTTTATTATTTTCTACACTAAGCCTTCTATCAAGATTTTGATTTATCAAAGTTATGTTCTTGCCCACATTAATTTCTACTTTCTTTTCGGGATGATTTGTTATTTTTATTTCGTTCGTGTTATCTTTAAGCAATTCCTCAAAGTCAGTTTCACATTTAGCTATATTTTCCACTGGTAACGTCGACGGGACTGGAGATTTCTTTGGATCTTCGGGTTCTTTATTCTTTGTTTCTATTATTTTTTCAGCTTGTTTTAAGTCCTTATTCTTCTGATTACTACTTAATAGCGATGTAGGCGGGTGTTCAACATTTTCACTCTCACTTCTTGTCCGTAACCTTAAAGTGGCCTTTGGACTTGAGCTTCCTTTTAGTAGCAAAGGAGTCATAACAACATTTGCTAAACTTGATGTAGTTACAACGACGGTATTAGACGATTCAGGTTTACCTAGTGTTGTTGGAGGTCTTATGGTAGCCATTGATAGTACTGAAGGAGGGCCTTTGCTCGGATCTAGTTGTATAACGCTTGTCATAGGAGTAGTTGTTAATAGCCTTTGGGAATTTATTGTGTGAATTACATTTGAAGCATGTCCCCTATTTACTGTTATCGCTTCTTGTAAATTAGACACGAGCGATTTTGTTGTTCCTTGTATAATGGACGGAGAAGAGTGAGAAACTCCAGCAACATGAATAATAGGCGCAGATGCTAAGGATGTAATATGATTGTGTTCAGATTTGGCACTCTGAGCATCTCTCTTATCCGTTAATTGGCTTTTGTTATTTATTAATACTTTATTAGAAAGGTGTAATGTAGAATTTATATTTCCCACATGTAAAGAGTTTTGCATTGAAATAAGTCGATTTTGAGACATCACTGTGGGCGTTGGTGACTGTTGTAGTCTAGTGGGGGACAGAATAATTTTGGCAGTCTCTGTAATATTATCAGCTTTTCGGCCATCCGCGGATATTATTTTTGGTTGATGTATCAACTGCGAATTAGGAACATTTCCTTTGGCTTGTTGAATAATATTTGCATTTAATTGTTTTGGGATTGTTGCAAGAACTGGAGTTACAGGTAATCTGTTAAAATGAATGGGAGTGCCTTGGGTTTGAACCAAAACTGAATTTGGTCTATTAGGCGAGACCATAGCTCTTGTGCCATGCGGGATATGCACAGTTTGTATAGGACTAAGTGGTGGTTGTTGCATTCTAACTACGGTAACTTGCCCAGGAGATCGTTGTTGAATGGCATTCGGTGAAGCTGTTCCCACTGTGTTCATATTTTGAGGCGGAGTGCTTAAAATCGCCATATTACTTAGTCTTGGAGATGTCATCCCTTCCGTTTGCTGACTAGCTTTAGGACTTAGTAATACAGGTTCATTAGCCATCCTAGGGGAAATTACAATTCCTTGCGGTTTCTGATAAATGATATGAGGTTCAGGAATTTTTATCGTTGGAGGCTGCATACAAGATACTTGAGGTCTAATCATCTGATTTATAACTTGATAAGGCGCCCCTACTCTACTAGTATTTATAACAGGCCTTGACGTATTACTTATCTGCATATTTTGATTTGAAGGTGTTTTAATCTGAACAATATTAGCGGTTATATGAGTTGGTTTATTATCGTTGTTATCTCTGGTAGTTACTGAGCTAACGGGAATATTTAAAACATGTGGTTCTATCAATTTGTTGTTTGATAACGTCCATGATGTAATAACTGGAGTGGCTGTTGATGTAATTTGTTGCACACTCTCTTGCTTCGTACATACAGGTGGTTTTACATCATCTTCTATGGCTTTTTTCGATAATTCATTCGACTTAGTTACAGTATGCACAATTGTAGTCTTAGGTTTAGCTATTATTATGTTTGATACTTGTGCCGTAGTCTGAGGCACGCTTACTTTGGTATTATTGTTAAGAGAAGGATTAGTAGAAATAATATTTACTGGCAATCTATCAATAGCATCTTGAGTAGACTCTTCTGCTTCTTCAGTGTCAGTATCGATAAGGAGAAGATCATTGTCAGATACTGGCGTGTCAGGTTTAATTTCCATTTCACTAGCGTTTAAATTTTGAACTGCTTGCCTCATTTCTTCTGCATCTTCCTCAGGTATAATTTCACTTTCAATTGGAGTGGTCTCTATCTCTATTTGATGAGAAGTATTATTTTCTACTTCTTCATAACAATTATCAAATGTGTTGGCCTTACCACCAAAACTTTCGCCCAGTAATGCTGCAACAGCATCTTCAGTTTCTTCTTGCGAAATAATTGCACGAGGTTTTTCTTCGATTTTTTTATCCAATTTTGAATGGGAATCGTTAATTATCTTATCGATTTGTTTTTCGGTTTCTTTTTCCAAATTAGGTATACTTCGGACGGCATCTTCACTTATTCTTACATCAGTGTCGACTTCAATCTCTAAATCATAAGCTGGTAAAATACTTTTAGACTGTTCAGCATCAAGAGGCGGATCTTTAGGCAATGGTACTTCACTTATGTCTTGCACAATATTATCAATGGGTGGTGGCATCGGTATATCGTTTACTTCGATGTTCTCCGCTAGTTCGTAGTCAATTTCGATTGCATCATCAACAACTAAACGATTTGGAGTATCACATTCATTATTTATGGAATCGTTAATTTCTTCAGTTTTGATAGCAAAAGGCGGACTATCAGTAATTCGCGGTAAACTGGGAGATTCCGATAAAGATTTACTGTCATCTGATTTATCAGTTAATTCAACCTTTTGTATATCATTAGGAAGTGGTATATCCAGCAGCATAGTTTTTGGTGATAGTTGAAGATTATTATCAATATAAGATTCGTCATTTTTTGGAATCTTCTCATGATGGTAATTATGATGATGTTCTTTCCGACTCTGCCTATCTTCCCTATTTTTCTTTTTCTTTTTCTTTTTGTCTCTTGATTCCTTTCTAGTTTTGTCGTTGTATTTATTGAAAGTAATCGAGTCTCCTTTATAACTAACATCAATGTCTTTCAGTTCATTTTCAGGATTTTTTGAAATACACTCCGAAATATTAATTTCAGTTTGGTTTTCGTCAATATTTGATGAGTCAGCAAACAGACGTGCTTCTATTGCTTTGCTTACTGCGTCTACATCGAGACTATTATCGTCGTCTCGTGTAAAATGTCGTCTTTCTTTTCTCTTCTTATCCTTTCTTCGCTTGCTGTCATCTTTATCTTTACTTTTTATTTCGTCGATATTAGGTGTTCCTTTTTCACATGTATTCACTGTCGGTTCAAACTCCGTTGGTACGGTTTCTGTTTTATTATTGACGTTACCTATATCTCTATCAGATTCATCAGAGAGAGGCCCAAATATGTCTTCCATTTTGCCTTCTTTTCTATTGTTATTAGATGTCGGTTCTGCGAGTCCATCATATGATTGATTCGGTGAACGTTTATCTCTTTTTAATTTTATTTTTTCGTCACGGGGCTCATCTGTATCAACACTGTCACGCACTTTATCTTTTCGTTTTTCTTTTTTATTACTATGTCTACGACTTTTTTCATTATTTTTATGTTTACTGCCAGGTTCGGATATTATATCGTGGCTACTTTCAAGTTTAGATTCTTCGTCAGAAAATGTAAATTTATATTTCTTTTGCTTTTTCTTATGTTTTTTACGTATTTCTGATGAATTTCTATTAGATTCGATTGGAATCGATTCATTTTCTGATGATATATCGTTTGGAAAACTTTTCGCAAAAACCATTCTATAATCACTTTCGATATCTAAATTTGATTTAAGTCTATTATCTTCGCTATCACTTTTTCCAAACAAATTCAAAAGAGACGTTTTCTTAACTTTATCCTCACTCGATTCTTTAAGCTGGATTTCCATATGTTTACATTTCTGAGATGATTCGGAATCTGAAAATATTTCCTGTTTTATTTTATCCATAAATGTAGGACTTTTATTTAAATGTCTTTTCATGTTTTCTTCATCAGAGGTATCAGACATAATGCGAGATCTAGAGTTCTTACGAGATAACTTATTATGGGAATCTTCTTCATTGCTCACTATATCAAAGTAATCGTTAACTCTATTACGATCATATTCAAGACTTGATCCATGTGATTTTTCCCTTTTTTTACTACTGTGGGTAATATGATCGTCGTCGGTCGAACTATCCATAGACGTTTTATGAGGTTTACGTCGCTCATTTTCAGAATCACTGTCTTCGTCCCAACTAGATCGCTTCTTTTCTTCGCGTTTTGCTCTACTTTGCTTTAACTGACTAAACTTAGCTTTGATCTTTTCTTGGCGTTTTTCTTCTTCTTGTTTTTGCATGTTTTTACAAGATCTAGCTTTAACTTTATCATACATCGACAAGTGTGTAGGCCCATCGTCAACAATATCGAAAATTGAATGCTTTTTAGGTTCGTCGGAATCTGAACTGTCTGTGCTCTGTAACTGTTTGCGATTACGCCGTTTACTTTGATCTGCTCTCTCGTCCCTACTTTTTCGATCAGTTGACATTCTCTTGTCCCGTGCAGCTTCTTTTTTCTTTTCATCATGTTTAAGTTTTCGATCCTCTTTTGTTTTGTTACAATACTCTTGCTGGTTCAAAGCATCCTGTTGCATTTGAAGTTCTTGAATTTGCTGCAGTTGCTGAATACGCTTCTTTTCTTTCATTTCTTTTCTTAAAGCTTTTTGTTTTTCATCCTCTTCACTAGAACGTAATTCCAAAGTAGCAAGAAAATCTATATTACTTTGCAATGACTCTAGTGAGGCATCAGAACTTCCAACTATCTTATCTTCATTCTCCATTGGCGGACTCTTTTTGATAATCTTTCTGTCATGACATGAAGCCTCTTTGGTTTCATTATCTTTCGCATGTACAAATATGTCATCAGGTGGTTTAACCTGATTTTTCTTGTCATCTTTTGTTTTGCTTTCTATAATTTTAGCAAAATGACCTTTATTGAACTTAGTTGTCTTGTGACGTTCTAAACTTCTAGCATCTTTAAAATCACGCCGATCTGGTTTACTTTTTTTCGAATCTTCATTAACATAGTCTACACTATCTTGAGATGACATTCTTCTTTTATGACCTATATGTGAGGGTAAGCTCGAACAAGAATTTAATCGTTCTTTACGTTTAGAGTCAACGCTAGGTGAATCAAGAGAATAATGCCTTTGTTTTTCAGATACATCAACTTTACTTTTTGATGCACCTTCTCCATGAGCCTCACCTCTACTTTTATGATGTTCACCAGAATCTTTTTCCTCTTTGATTTTGTTTTTCAAATGCAATTCTCCTATATCTTTCTCTTCTTTAATTTCAGTTTTGATTTTTGTTTTAACATTACTATGGTCTATGACTTTATTATGATCGTGTGACTTTATTACTTCCTTCTCTGATTCATGTTTATTTAATATTTCCAAACTTTTATTTTTAGTCTTTGGCTCTTCTTTTACTTCAATATTTTCAATATCTTTTGATTTTGATGAAGTTGAGTCATGTGATGCTCTTGAGGTAGTAGAATCCGTCGAATCTTTCCGACAGACTTCTCTAGTTGATTCATCTCTTGAACTTTTACGACTTTTAGATGTATCAACTTCTTTTTTCACATCGCGTTTACTATCGTTATCTTTTTTTGTTCGATCATGTTTGTGTTTATCGTCTCGTTTTATACTTTTAGACAAGATATCAACTTCTGAAAGTTCTCTTTTTCTTTCTTTTTCATTTTTATCTTTTTTGTGATTTTCGTTTCTTGTATGCTTCTCGTCATTATGTCTAGATTTTTCGATATCCCGGTCTTTTTCTACAACTTTGTCACTATCCTTCTCAGTTTTTACTTTATCCACCTTTTCAGAACTTGGTTTTGTACTTAAAATATCGTCCTTTAACTTGCGATCCTTTTCATTTCTTTCAAGCTTGAATATTTTGTTGCTCTTAGATTTTTCTTTTTCGTTATCTTTATCAACTCTATCTCTGCTATATTTTAATTTGTCCTTTTCATGTTTATTATGATCCTCATGGGTTCTATCATTATCAGTTGTTATGCGGTCTGGAGAAAATAAAATATTATTAGTCAATTTAACTTTTTCAACAGGTTTATCACAATCTATATTCTCTTTTCCAGATTTATCCTCTTTCAATGAAAGTGTAGTGCTGACTTCACATTTTTCTCTACTGCTCTTCTCAAGTTTAATCTCCTGATTTAAAACTTCGACGTTCTTTTTAGACGATTCTATGCAGTTTATAGCATTTAAGTGATTAACCGCATGCACTTTATGTGACAAACTTTCTTTACTAATATTATTCGGAAATGGCTTTTCTTGACATCTTTCAGCTTCCTTTTTCATTCGAAAACTTGTTTCGTGTAACTTACTCTCTTGTTCTAGCTGCAATTTAATATCTTCTTGTATAATAGATTCAGACTTCATATCGAATTCATTTTTAAAGATATACTTTTCAGATGAATTCAATTGTAAATCTAATTGAATTTCTTGTTTTATTGTTTTGCTTTCCTCATTTCGTAATTTTATTTCTTCTCGAAAGCAATTTCTTTCAAATTTACTTAAAATTGAACTACTACTTTTTAAAGTAAGTTTATCTTCTACATCTTCTTTTTTAATAGTCAGTTTATCTTCACAAGAGGTTGTAAACCTCTCTTTTAAATTACTTTTTTCCGGTACATCTAAAGTCGTGCTCGTTTCGAATCCTATTCTGTCTGAGCTGGGTCTAATGTCAGAGACTATAGGTTTTTCTTCTGTCATAAGTAAAGAGTTTCGACTTTTACTCATGTGTTCGTCAAAATCAGATCTTGTGGGTGAAAGCTTTTTCTCGATTATATCAAACGCCGGTTTGTCAGTCGAGGGCGTTCTTCTCAATCTCGTGTCACTCTCCAAGTCAATTTTGATCAACTTATCGAGACGTGGACGTTCTAAGTCTTCTGGTTCCGGTGGTTGTATAGCACTTCCAGTAGTCAAAGTCGCCGTGACTGAATGCGCGTGGGCCGGAAAGGGATAACGTAAAACACGCGGAACTGCCGTCAGCGACCTGGGACTGCCTCCGGGGCTCGGAACACGGGCACCTTCCAACCGCTCCGAGTCCTCATCGAACACGGACCTCTTCGCGAGTAAGGACAGGACCACTTCAGAGGGTTTCACTTCGTTGATATCAAGTTCGAGCAAGCGGTGCCTGAGGCGTGAGCGGTCGGGCGCGTCGGCGTGCGCCCGCGAGCCTGTCCAGCGTTCGTACTTCTCGTCGAGGGAGCGGATGCGCTCCTCCAGCGAGGGCGAGTGCGGCGCAGAGCCGGCGCTGGAGGAGGAGGCGGAGGGCGGGCGCGGCGGCGAGGCGGGCGCGGGCGGCAGCGAGCGCGGCTGCGCGGGCGCGGCGCGCAGCATCTGCACCGCGAACTTGGGCAGCGGCAGGCTCATGGGCAGCGGCGGGCGCTCGCGCGGCGGCCGGCGCGGCTCCGTGGGCGGAGCGTCAGGCTCGTCGCGCAGCGGCGTGCCGGCGCGTGACGCGCGGGAGCCGCGCGAACCGGAGCCGTCGCGTCGCCGCCGGTGGCGCCGGCGCGACACGTGGCTGCGGGAACCAGATCGCGACCTTCTGGACCCACCGCCGGCGCTGCGGTGTCGTTCCTAAACAAATTAAATATTCTCATTCGATTTTTACATTACTGTTTAAATTTTTGTTCAGGTGTTTAATATGTAATAAAAGTAGACCTTTCTGTTTATTCTACATATTTACATATGACACACGAACACATGAAAGCTCGAAAACTGACCATAAATTAGAAAATTTACTTCAATGACACCTTCAATTATTAACAAGGTTATTCCAAATACCACGTTTCCCAAAAGTTGCCAATGACAATATTCCCAATAATAATAATAATAATAAACTCTTTATTGTACACCAAGAATAAAAGAAAAATAAATAAACACAGAGTTGAAATATACAAGAGGCGGCAATATCTTATGAAGTACCTTTTTACTCCACATAGCATCAAGACTTAAAAACATACAAAAAATAATAATTGACAATTCAGTATTCATGAAATGAGTAAACACAAACTTATTAAATTTGCTTAATGTGAACAGTAATGTTATTTTAACTATCTAAGAGGTAACTAAGAGGTAGGAGGTATAAATCTGAATTTAACATTAACTTAAAATGGAAATTTGAGTTTGCAACGAACATGTCTCACTATACCTTAGAATGTTTCCTTTCCTCTGGACTCGAATCGCGTCGATGCTTATGACCTCGATGTGGCGATACAACAACTGATTGAAGTCGATCCTCGTAATTTGCCTCATCTGTTTGTGGACTGGAACCTAATTCATCATATACCCTGTAACAAAATTTGCTTTTTAAGTGATTTTTACATATTATTTGTTTTAGCATCATAACACATACCTATTTATGATTCAGTGGTATGGTTTATATTGCAAGGTTATTTTTTTTTAAAAGCAAAAAATAACTGAATGGTCTATATTGCACTAGGATCAGTTTACTATAGATAATACCTAATCAGATATTTTCGATGTCGGTACCAGCCATCAATGCTTTAAGATATGAATTTCTAATAGGTAAATATGACAAGGTATGAACTCTATAGTTAAAATATTATATATCAATGAGTGATGTATTTATATGTATCGAAGTAGGTTTGATTTGATTGGCATCGAGAGTAATTTTTTTACTTTTTAGTAAAAAAAATTAAGTTGTTTTTTTTTTTAATTCCTTTTCTATTTCGTAATTTTTAGTTTTAAGTAAAAACTAAAATAGTTTTTTAATTAGTAGTAATAACAAAAAAAACTATTACATTTTTAGTTATAAGTTTTAGATCACATCATAAAAACTACTGGACCTATTTTGATGAAACCTTTACTATTACCTAAGTTGAAATAAATGTACACAAATAAAAAAAGAATGATCACGATTCGATAACTAGTTTTGGAGAAATGTGTGGACAAACACGACATACACACAACTATAAAATTTTTGTGGACAAACATACAGACATACATACATACAACTATAAAATTTTGTTTATTTGCTATATATATACGTGTTGGATTGATAACCTACTTTTTTTAAGTTAAAAAATTGATTAATATAATGTGAAAGGTATACCTGTATCTTCTATCAGCAGCATAATCAGCAGGATCATAATGGTCGTGTGTGTTATAACGGGGGGTCCTAGAAGATGCACGACCAAAACTAGGCGCTCGAGATCGTGAACCTCCAGTCTCGTAACTACAAATAAATTTGATATCAAAGTATTGATAAAATTTTATATTATAGCGCATTATAATAAAACATGTTTATTATTTGAGTAGAAAGACACTCTCTTAGATCATTTTAGGAACAAAAAACTTTTTAACAAAAAAATAAAAACCGACTTCAAACAAAGCACTAAAAAGTAAAAAATAACTGATTGGTAGTTTTCATTTACTATACATACCTAATCAAATATTTTCGAAGTCGGTGTGCTTTGCTTTGTATGGGCTGGCACCGATTTCGAAAATATTTGATTGGGTATGTATTTAATAGGTAGGCTTTAATTACTTAGCCAAAGCACACCGACTTCGAAAATATTTGATTAGGTATGTATACTCGTAGTAAATGAAAACTACCAATCAGTTATTTTTTACTTTTTAGTGCTTTTTTTTGAAGTCGGTTTTTATTTTTTTGTTAAAAATTTTTATTTTTCCCTTTTTAGTGTAGACAGTAGTAGCAAAGTAAGGATTTTAACGTGTCAGGCTTGTCAAATCAAACAAAATAAGCCCAAACTCAAAGTATCTACTATTAGCCGTTGAAGAGTTCCACCTATCCACCTTCTGGCCTTGCCATCAGATCAGGTCAACAACACCGAACCACTGTACTATCAACGGAAATAGAAACACTTGCAAAGTTTCAAGTCAATATGACAATTAGAAGTAGGTTAAATTCATCATTAGTTGTTTTTCCACCCTTAGGGGTGGTATTTTTTTTTTAATTTAAATGGGACCAATCTGGAACTATACCCTTTCATACAAAACAAAAATTGTCCAAATCGGTTAATAAATGACGAAGTTCTGAGGTAACAAACATAAAAAAAAACACAGTCGAATTGAGAACCTCCTCCTTTTTGAAGTCGGTTGAAAATTCGGAAAACATTAAATCTTTTTGCTCGTATATGCTATTTACTCGTTAATCTATACACATAATAAAAATGTAACTAAGCCGAATCTGTACATTAAATATTTTTTGGAAAATCTTACTGAAATAAACATTATTATCGATACAGAGGCCGAATCTATAGTTTTTAGAATTTTTGCCTGTATGTCTGTCTGTCTGTCTGTCTGTCTGTCTGTTACCGCATCACAGAAAAACCACTGGAGGGATTTTGATGAAATTTGCTGTGATGATAGCTGGTTATCCGGGTCAACATATAAGATACTTTTTACCGCGGGAAAATATCTCATTTCTGAGAAAAAATACAAAAACTGCAATGTATACTAATATGTAAAACTGAAGAATTTGGTTTTTGGTCATCTGAACGCAGGCGGAGCTGCGGGCTATGCTAGTCTATACTAATATTATAAAGAGATAAAGTTTGTGAGTTTGTGACGTTGTAGGGAGTAGGAGTAATCTTTGGTTCAACTGAACCGACTTAGATGAAATTTGATAAAAAGATAGTTTGAGACCCTGGGAAGGACATAGGATACTTTTTATCGCGAAAATCATCTCTTAAGGGGGTGAAAATGGGGATGAAAGTATGTATTGGGAAGCGATCTAGGAACGAACCTAAGCGAAGCGAGGGTGAATTGCCAGAGTAATATTATAGCCGGAGATATAGCAAAAGTTAATGATAAAAGATTGAAAAACAGTAATACAAACCGAAGCGATTCATGCCTGGCGGCGGGCAGGTAGCGCGTGGGCGGGTCGCCGGGCGCGCGCTCTGCGCCGGCCAGCGCCGCAGATCCTCCGTGCTTTTCTAGCTGCTCGTAAAACGCTTCCTGCAAGTAATGTAGTAATTAACACTAACATAAAAACACACCACATGCACGTGTATCAGTATCAGAGCGCTGAAAATTGGCGGGTAAAATACCCGCCAATTTTCAGCGGGTAATTTTAGGCGATTTTTGATGGCGGGTAATTTTGACGGGTAAATGTATTGAGCGGGGTCAAAGCACATATTTTAATTAGCTGATTAATTTGATATTTGAAGTTTTTTTTACGTTTCATTTAATAATTTAAAGCTAAATTGAGAACTGATTACAATGACTCCTTTTTGTAACATTAGTAATTTGTTTTATTCTATATAAAACATGAATAAATTACTTAAAAAAAAATTTCGGGTATTCTGCTCATGGTTGGCGCCGGTGAGATAAAGCGTGTATTTTGAGGTTTATCGGTCGGGTAAATCAGCGAGTGTTATCTGGCAGTGTCTGCGCACCTGGCACTCCCTGGAGGCGTAGTCGACGCAGAGGCGCGGGTGGTCGGGCTCGGCGGCGGACAGCTGCGCGGCCACGCGGCGCAGCTCGCGCACGGCGCCGCCCGCCGCCGCCGCCTGCTCGAAGTGCACGAGCGCCGCGCCCGCTGCGCGGTCCACGCACACCGACGTGGCCGCGCCGCACCGCGACACCGCGCCTAGCACCTGCACGCACGCACGCAGTACGTTCAATATAATCATTTCCCAATGTTACAAAATACAAATATTATAATGTTTTACAAAATCATGTTTTGTATCAACTTTTACAAATAAAAAATAAGTATAATGTATTTTTTTTTCTTTGTATACTTTTTGTCTGCAGTGTTGTGTTTACCTGTTTCTCCGTGTGCTCCGTGAGGCCGTCGACCCAGACGCAGGTGGTGGCGACGGGCTTGCCGAAGCCGAGCTTGACGCGCGAGCTGCCCACGTACTCGCCGTCCATAGCGCGGATGGCCTCCACCACGCTGGAGATGGACGCGTACTGGCAGAACGCGTAGCCCGCGCCGCCACCGCTCCCCTTCTTTATGTCGATCTCTATTATACGTCCAAAGTGTTTGAACTTATCCCTTAGTTGCTGTTGCGTTACATCCTTCTCTAAGTTTCCGATGAATAACGTCCGCGTCGCCTGCAATATATTTATTACTTCAGTGTCTTTTCATTGTTTTATATTTTCCGCATGTTATATAATAAACATAAGATTTCAAAAAATAATAATATAAAAATAACTAAAATAGAAGATATGAGTTTTGAAATCCAAGTATTTTTTCTATTATTACAACACTAAGCCCTACTTACATACATAGAAATAGGGCACACATATTCAATAACCAGAGTTATGTTCTTTTTTTATTCATAGTGCAATTATTTTATTTATTTAAATAAACATAAAATATTTCAAAAAACAATACGTACTAGCAATATAGTTCTTCTACCCACCTTCGGATGGTATTCATCGATATCAGTCTCATAGGGTTTCGCCGACTCCGCGTCATCGTCGCAACTTTGGTGGGGTGCCACTGAGATCTTGCAACCAAAAAAAAGCTTATCTTGAGACACTTCTAGCGCCTTTTCTACGTCGGACGGCTTCTTAAAACGGACGACCGCGTATCGATCAGCATTCTGACCGACCACCTTCACCCACACCACCTTCCCATGCTTCTTGTACTCATGATAGAGACCGTCTTTGAGTGAACTGTCTGTCGATCTTGTCGGCAAGTTTCGTACGCAAATCGCCAAAGGTCTTCCGTTCGCCGTTGATGGCCACTGGAATATAAAATTAAATTATTACTAAGTAAATAATAAAATCAACACATATAACAAACTATTGTATATCATAACCTAAAAAGTAAAAAGTTTAGGACAAAGGTAGGAAGTATACGTAGGTAGTAGGCACACATATTATTTGATATATTAGAGATACAGAACCTGGTGTGGATGAGGTGGAGGGGTGCGCCTCGCATTATGATGCTGGGTGTGGTGGTGAGCCGGCGTGGAGGCGCGCGACGTGTCGCTCGGCTCCGGTGAGCTGGACTCGGAGCGAGACGAGCCCGAGCCGGAGAGCCGGCGCCGCCGCTCCGTGCCGCCGCCCGGCGTGCTCGGCGTGCTCTCACCGCCCGCCCCCGCCCCGCCCGCGCCCGCCCCTGCCGCACCGCCCGTCGACGCGTACCATCGATGGTGAGGAGTTGTCCTACAACACACCAGCTTTAAAATACTCGATTCTCGATTTATACAGACACGTGGACCTGACGGTCAGATAAGTTATAAAGACTAGCGCCTCACCCTCGCTCCGCTCTCGAGTTCGTCCCTACTTACGTTTTAACATTTAGTATAATTTCTCACAGATGAGATATTTTCCCGTAGTAAAAAGTATCCTATATGTTGACCCGGATAACCAGCTATAACCATACCAAATTTCATCAAAATCCCTCCAATGGTTTTTCCGTGATGCGGTAACAGACAGACAAAAATTCTATAAACTATAGATTCGGCCTCTGTATCGATGATAATGTCTTTTTCAATAAGATATTCCAAAAAATATTTAATGTACAGATTCGACTCAGCTAAAATTTTATAATACGTATAGACTAGCCTACTGACTTACCCTCGCTTTATAATATTATTATGTGCAAATATAATATTATTTAATACTCATTTTTGTTATAATCTAATAATACATTATCATTATCATGATAGTATCGTGTACGAGGTTATCGTGCGTGACTTCTGATCCTCATTTATATAATGATAATATGAAGACCCGATCGTGATCATTATTATCTATAACTTACAAATCAACAAAACATAAAACGAAATTTAAATTTATATTATATGGATTAATAAAAATGGAAATTTGAATGTTGTATTAGGAAAAAGAATCTAAGACGGCATTACTATTAGCTATGTAAAATTATATAAGCACAATTTTGTTCCGTATACACGACACGTTAATTTATATGACGAACGTGACATTCATATAAACTGTAAAAATGATAAAGCTATGATATTATGGGCCTGATTGTTTGTTACAGATTATTTTGGACAAATCTAATCTCAGTAGAGGATATGTACCTAAGCTACTTATAATGATGAGTATGAAATGTTCTCATACCGGACCTATAACGTAAATTAACGAATGCTGTTTTTGGAAGTTTTAATTTCATAATATGTTAGAAAATGTATAAATAGCTATGAGCTTAAATTAATTTTATATTTTGTAAAAACTATGCTTCACACTTTAGTTGCTGTTTTGACATAAATTGGGTATTATAAAAAGCTATGATATCACCAGAGTGGGGCACTTTTCTTGATTTCGTCAAGCAGAGTTAACATACAAAATCTTCAATTGTGTGATTGTGAATAGACAGATACCGGCTCAGTACCGGCAGTTCTTTATTAAACGGAGTTTATTCATCAAGTGCCGTAACGTGATAAGAAATACAAATACATTTAATATACATATATTAAAAGATCTAAAATAAATACATAAAATATTCGAAAGTTAAAGGGCGTTTTTTCGTTTTAGTCTAACGGTTAGAGTTAAAGGGTTAAATAAAAAAAATACAATATTATTATGTTTTAAAATTCTCAAGTGTTTGACGTTTACGTAACGCCCACGACAAACGAAAGTATTCGAGCAATGGAACCCATCTCCACTAACCTACACGCACTTAAAGCATTTCATTCAATAAGGTCAAAAGCTGCATTTTATGTAACTGTTGCATGCACATAGTATAAATTGTCAATTTACCAACAGTGACATCTATTTTCAAACGATTCCGCTTTATTAACCGAATTCCAAAGAGGAGGAGGTTCTCAATTCGTCGGAATCTTTTTTTTACGTATGTTCACCGGGTACTTGAAGACGCTTGAACCGATTTGGAATTTTTTTTCTTTCAAAGGGCATGCCAATGCAAAGCAAATCTAATATATTTTGATACGTAAAATACATATTTACCTGTTAGATATTTATATCTTAAAATATTGTCGGCTGGCACCGACTTCCAACTTAGTTATTTTTTACATTTTAGTGCCTGGAAGTCGGTCATTTTTTAATTTTTTATGCCAAAGGCACTTTAATAATGCTTCTGAATTGAATTTGCCCAAAAATTAGTAATATAGTATGATGTAAAAATAAATAAAAGAGTATACAATCAACTAATTTATAAAACCATTAAAACACTTTAACGACATTAGGCCGGAATGTCATGACGTTAAGTTTGGCAATTCATTAGGTATTATGTTAAATTCAAGCTTTGTGATAGATTCGACATTGATAATAGTATGTCTAGGTTGGGCCTTTCTTTTTCTTAAACCCAGAAACCATTATTACCCACAGTGCTGTATTTAACAACCTTACGTTTTACAATTTGCCTTTGTCATTTTACGCTTCTTGCGTTTATAATCAGACTGTTTGTATAATGACGAATCATAACGATATGCCTACGTCATAAATATTTCAATTTTGTTAATAATGTTAAAATTGAACGATATACTTTTTTTTACCAATATTATACACGTATGTTTTAGTATACTTGTTATGATGGTTACTTATTTCCATTTTGCATACGTGCACCATAAAACATATCAGAATTTAGAGATCTGGTACAACAAGCAGAATCAGCATGCATGCAACAGCATTTGGTACTAAATATATAACCGTATGGGCCTGTATAATATCGTCGTAATAATCCTTCCACGCGGATGGCATGATAATTTGTACATCACGTTGTTTTATATTACACCTTTCGATATTTGAAGGGGGCGTAGCATATGGTGCATTGGAGTTGTTCCTCTGGTACCTGCCGTATGCCGCAGGGGTGTTACCGCGGCGACAGAAATCTGTGGCGCTATCGTTGGTGCCCCGCCACGTGGCCGGCGCTGCCGCTGACGCGGCCATCGCGCACGCGTTACCCGCACTCTCCTCTCCTCTGAAACAAGCATAAATTAATGTTACTTAAGTATAAAAACGAATTTGTACTGTATTATATTAGAGTACCTGAGCTGTAATTATTAGGTTTTTTAGATTAATAGGTTTAAATTAACAACGACATCTATATTTACTAAATATTCATTCGAATCTAAATATATATTTTTCTAAAATATCAACCCATTTCGTGCACGTAACAGCATAATTCTCTAAAGGCATAAAATATACATAGATATATTTATGCCTTAATAAAATTATGCGGCTATTTCAAACACTATTATTATATCTATGTCCAAAGAACGACTTACTTAAATTAATGTTTAAATATTTTTTCTTTAAGTTATGACTCTGATTTATATTTCTTATAAATATATTTTTTATATATAAATATATTTTCGTCCAGAATAACTAACATCAAAAAAGAGTTACAAAACTAAGAAAAAATCTAGATACATCAAAATAAACAATTTTACATATCGAGTAAATTTTAGATGTAATACGAAGAACTAAATGTTTTTAAGAACATTAAAAACGATAAGAATAAGAGCAATTTTTTTATTTTATTCAAGATACATTTATAGTACAAATAAAATTTAAGTGCTAGGTTATTTGACACATATAAAATAAAACAAGGGAAATATACGCTTTTTATTTACTTGACCCTAGCCTACTTACTAATTCAACATGGTTAAATCAATGCCGCTAAAAATTTGTTTTTGTATTTTAATTTTTTTAACTTTTTGGATATGCAAAAATAGCTTAAGCATCTCAATGTACTTACATTGCCATTACTGACGTATGGCTAAGATTGTATGAGATGCGATCGTAGGCATTAATGTGTCGTGAATTATATAATAACAGCGAGAGAAAAGTTACATACGATTTAAAAAAAATGAAAATATTTAAAATATAAAAAAGGCCTAAACCCCCATTTATTTAAAAAAAATAGTTTTTAGTCAATAAAAAAATGAGTTTAAAAAGAAAATAAGTTAAAAACGCAAAACACCTTTGAAACACAAGTAAAAAAAAAGAGAAACTATTGAATAACTTTTAAAATACATGCATTGAAAATGTTTTTACAGCCATTTTCTCCAAAGTAGTTGTCAGTAGGTTAAGCTACTTTTGCGCTAACGTCCTTAAATATCAATAAAAGATTAAACAGATTTTATTTAATCTTTGAATGCGGAGTCCAAACGTAAGCAGACGTAAGCTTCATTTTATATCTAAACCATAAAAGCGTTACGGCAAGTACCAATATTTTGTATGGTTTATTTAGAAAATAAAATATGTGTCATTAATGGTATTACCGTTAAAACTTTGCTGTTAGTTTAAAAAACAGATTAGGCAAATCTCATCATCTCAAAAAATAAATATATTACATTTATTGATAAAAAATATAGAAAAAAAAGTTTATTGCCATAAAAAAATAGCAAAGAAATAACACAGTCATTAAAAATAACTTAATCTTTGACAAAAGTTAGTAACTCAGTTGATGCTGCTAAAATCGAAACTTTGAGCAGCACTAATTTTCAGTTAATAATAATAGCTACTTAGAAACTATCTAAATAAGACTTTGATATTGTTTTACATTTTGTAATATTTATATGCGTAGTTTGCGGAATGATCGTAATGGACACAAGGATAATTAATTAGACCAAATGGGCGGAAATAGATATAACAGAAATGATTTCAGGTATAACAAGTGCATTACAAATAAACCTACTCGATGGTGATGTGTGAACCCCGAAGAGTGTTCCACCACCGTTACTGTAGGATGTAGGCTGTAGCCTATCTGTAGAGAAAAGATTACTGTTACACCACGGAAGTCATAAAAATGCAAGCTTTCAAGACCTTGACCAAATGTAAGTTTTTCAAAAAATATTAAAAGCAATTTTGAAAAACCATCATGCTCTTCAAGGGTTACTAAATTTTATTACCGACAGAAGTTCACTATAACTCATAAAAAGTTTGAAGTGTAGAAATACAACATTATGATTATTTCTTTGAACTAGAAGTTGTAGACAATCTATGAAGACACTATGACGACGTCATATTGATTACCAGTTACCACTGAACTTTCAAAGAAAGCGGCTAAATTGTAAGTATGTAATGAGATAAAACAGTGACGTCACTTCGCTTCGTGAACTCACTATCTATTTCTTTTCGAACTATTATTCTATTCAGCATTCAGTTTTATATTATTTATAGATTGCTTTCAAATAAGAAAACCTCTATTCTTTACTTTTGATCGCAATAACCTAACATAATGATTGCTACACTTGTGTAGCGTTAAGCATGCTCAGATGATCGGGAAAAAAATCTAATAATAAAGATACTTGAATTTAATATGTGCTGATCTGCCTTTCATATTAGATAGTCATAATAAGGAATCGTATCTTATTTTTCATTTAGATTTTTCAAAGATTTACACTCTTGGTATTAACAAAATGCGACTCAATGCTATTATTATAATATAATAAACATGTTAATTTACATCGAAATGAACAAATATACAAAATAATTTACAAACAAGTCCAATTGTACTCTACAAGATGTTTTAAATTGAAACGAAAAAGTGTTAGTTTAGATTTTTTGTATTTTAGTTTAGATTAAATACAATAATAATTCTTAACCCGCTTTTATTAGCTTTACTTTTTTGTAGTTCTAGCTTCATTAAACAAATCTAAGAACTCGATTTTTTTTATTTATAACCGTCATAGCGGCTTAAATACATGTTTCAAGGCTTGAATACGTAAAGTAGATGAAATTACAAATAGTATAGTACCAACGAGCTAATTTGGGCAGAGTTGCAAATACAGAAAAAAATTACTAACCACTTGTAAAGGATTCGAAATTAGGTTTATTTGATTCATTTTGACGTGGGTCATACATCTCAGTTCCACACAGTTCAAAAGTGTGTTATTTAAAATTTTAAGCTATAATTATATATTTTTCAATATGAAAATATGTTTTCTAATCAGTTGTATTGTGATTTGTGTATGCACGGTTATTTTTGAAGTGAAACTTCTTTAGGTGCGCAATGAGAGGGGAAAAAAGGATTGCAGTTACGACTTTTGTAACGGAAATGGTGGACGCCGGGCCGTTAAAAAATATTTAAACTTTTGTATGAGTATACCAAATAATAAATTAAATAAAAATAAATATTTATAAAAAAAACTTCTTTTCATTTATTTTTAAATGAGCGATGGAATAATATCAAATGGATATTGTTAAAAAAATATTTACTACAAATAATTATTTACACATTATAAATAAGTACCTATATATATTTTTCATTGAAAAAATTACATCCATGTATTATTATTTATTTTATTTGAGTATATAATGTGACTAATAAAATATTGTTTTCCTTTTTAAATCGATTATAAAATATATTTTTTAGTATCTCTCATAATATATTATGTTTTATTTTAACCTCCTTACTTGTTACGTTAAAAATAAAATATTGCATAATAAAACAAGATTTGAGATCGAGAAGAAGTTTATATTATCTATCTATACATATATAATACATATATGTATTATATATGTATAGATAATATAGATTAATGATATTTAATATTAAAAAGCCCTAAAAATACCAATATAAAATAGCAATTAAATTAACGTAAGTAAGAAGGGTTTCGTACCATCGTACATGTACTTTTTATTAATATCACTTAATAGAAGTAATATATTAACTTCGATGATCGATTATGAACTTTAAAAAAACTCCGTTGGCACACTTCGGGTACGGAACCTTAAAAACTGACTACCAATGGCTACATGCCAAGGTAGATAGACACGAAGACATTTAACGGTGTCAAGCGTGGTTACGGGAGATGACAAGAGACGATGCTCCAGCGGTAAGCACAAGGAGCCCTAAATAACTATGTAAGTGCGATGCGATGAGTCGCGAGTACCTACTACATCGTTTTGTGGAACTAATTGGTAGAGGAAGACCAGTTCACGCGCGTAACCCCGAACCTGACGCAAATCTACTGTAGTTACGATGTAATCTAGTGTAGTTACGACTTACGTGGAAATAAACTTTGATGTACTTAGCGGAACGCAGAACTCAAGTACAAACGTACAAAGTTTTAAAATTAATCTGTGTTTAGTATTAAGTGTTATTATTAAATAACACTACCATCCAAGATCATCGTCGTAATATTTATAATATGGTACTTAGCGTAAATGTCCTTGTAATTTTTAACACAATTACTTAATGTGGATCAACAACATTCAAGTGGCGGATTAAAAAATTGTGAGTACACAGTACATGCAGAGTTTGAATGTACATAATATTTTGTTGTTGATATTGGTAGGTATTACGACCTATTTAGCAGGAGCCTAGGTTTAATAAAGTTGCAATTAAGTAGTGCCCGGCAACCCAACCGGGCGCGAAGCCAAGAAACGCACAGGGAGGTGGCCCACATCGGTGGGCGGTGTACCATGCGGGTTGCTCCTGGTACTTCTCTGATAGCAGAGTGGACTTTGGAGCAACCCCATGGTTGTTGTGGTCTGCTTCGGCAGACCTGCCGTCGGGGCGTCGTAGTTGAATGCGTATGCGATCCTGCGACGCCCCATTAGGACGGGGGAAGGTTTTGTTGGGTTTTAGTAGGTAGTACTGGCTTTGCCGGTGAGTCCCACACCTCATGCGTGAATGCATTTCCCAACGTTAAAAAAAAAGGTATGTAATGAGACATGATAGATTGTAATTTTTAACCGACTTACAAAAAGGAGGAGGTTCTCAATTCGACGGAATCTTTTTTTAGTGGACATTATTCGATATTGTATCATTTAAGACTTTTCTATTGTAATATTCTTTTAAAAATTGTATATGTAAAATGATGTGGGTTTAAAAAAATCACTGCTACACGAAGATGTGTTATAATTTATAATAAAACTAGCGGACCCGACAGACGTTGTCCTGTCTACACGTCTTTAATATGAAAATTTCAAAGTTTTTTTAATAATTTTTTTGATGAAAATTATTATTCAAATTGTGAATCTAAACCATTCCCAGATCCCCTTGAACACACACAAAAAATTTCATCAAAATCGGTCCAGTCGTTTGAGAGAAGTTCAGTGACAAACACACTCACAGAAAAATTATATATATAAAGATACTCGTACTAACTAAAAAGGTAATTTCGTTTTATATATTTGATACACAAAGATACGTCAAATTGATAATTTTACATTTTGATTATCTATACTAATATAATAAAGAGGCAAAATTTGTTTTTTTATTTGAACGCGTTAATCTCAGAAACCAATAATCCGATTTGAAAAATTATTTTTGCATTAAATAGCCCGTTTATTGAGGACGGCTATATGTTATATATCATCATGCTACTACCCAAGGGAGTGGAGCAATTATCATAAATGTCAATAAATTGGGCAGACTTCCATACATTATTGTAAAACTATGTATATATATTATATAAATATACAGGGACGAGCCCCAACGAAGAGAGGGTTAGTCGCTATAACAAAGGCAAAGACTTTTTTTATAGATTGAACGCGAGTGAAGCCGCGGATTCTTCTAGATGGAAAATAAATTTCATGTTTTTAAAAAAAATAATCGAAAAGTGGAACAGTGTAAGAGAATTTTACTGCCCTTTTGGGCTTATAATATTGGCCCACAAAGCCATAAAAGCCCGCGGGTTCGAATCGAAATAATTGTCGATGATGAACGGAAAAATGTATTTTTGTGAATTTGTGTGATGTCTGAAATGTTTCTACTTGGCTTTATAACATTGTTAATGAAAAAAATTCTACAA